GAAGACACCCAAGAATATATCTGCCATACCCCAATTTAAGTAAAAACAAAGAAACAAAAAAACAAAGACTTATTCTATAAACATCTCCAAATGTAAGTTAACACATGCTTACAAATGGTTTAATTTTTTTTCCCTAGGCATCATTAAAAAGAAAACGTGAAGATGGGCGCTGGTGGCTCACATCTCTAATCCTGGCTACTCAGGAGGCAGAGATTAGGAGGATCAAGGTTTCAAGCCAGGCCTGGGCAAATAGTTCCTGAGACCCTATCTTGAAAAACTTCATCAGGAAAAAAAAGGCCTGGCGGAGTGGCTCAAGCAATAAGAGTGCCTGCCTAGCAAGTGTAAGGCCCTGAGTTCAAACCCCCAGCACCACCAAAAAAAAAAAAAGCTGCTTGGGAGGCTGAGATCAGGAAGACCACAGTTCAGCCCAGGCAAACAGTTCTCGAGACCCCATCTCCAAAATAACCAGACAAAATAAGCTGGAGGTGTGGCTCAAGAGGTAGAGCACCTGCTTTGCAAGCAGGAAGCCCTGAGTTCAAACCCCAGTCCCACCAAAAAAAAAAAAAATTCCTCCAGAATTGGAACCAGGTATGATGGCATATAACTGTAGTCTCAGCTACTCAGGAGGCTAAAGCAGGAGAATTGCTTCAGCCAGGAGTTCAAGGCCAGCCTGGGCAACATAGTGAGACCCTGTTTCAAAAAACAAATTCTCCCCAAATTAAAAGACCCTGACCTGAAGCACATAGCTGCAAACCCCTGAATGGGATAGGAAGGAGAAAGTCTGAATTCAAGCATAACCATGCAACAGGGCTGCAGTTTAGCATCTTCCATACACGTGAGTAAATTCTTTCTCCCTCTGTTCATTCCTTTGTTTCTCCCTCTTCTGTTTCAGCAGGCCCAGGCTTCAGGCAACAAAATGTGATCACCCTTTCCCTTTACTGAATTTTTCCAGTAAAAAGATCTTTTATAAGAGTAGACAGTTCTGAAAATGCAGATTTTAAAAATTTATGGCCATCCCCTCTCCCTGAGAGATAATATCCCTTTAGGGCATGCTTGCCTTGTTCTTTGCTGAAGTACTTCCCAGTAACTATGCAACAAGGCCAGAAGTACAGCCACACAGCACACCACTGTGCGACAGGTCCCCAGGGCCTGATCTGGAGCTGCCTCGCCTCTCAGAGGCCCTCCTGGGAGATACTTGACCCAGTTGTCTTCAAAGTGTCGTCCCAGAAGCACTGTTGTTCTTTTGTGGAAACTCCCAGGGTTAGAAGTGGCTTGGGGCCCTCAGACCACCCTACTCTGCAAACTAGAAGGGGAGTGAGGGTGTTCAGGACCCTCCAGCTCAGCTCTCTCCCTGTGCTGTCCCATGCTATGCTGCTTGTTCAGGGTGGAAGGACTTGGTCCGGAACAGTCCCTTTTACTGATCAGCAGCCCAGCAGGGAACTAAGGGTGAAAGGTCTCCCTGGCTCTGTGATCTCAGAGAGGATCACATTCTGGAAACTGTGTCAGAAGTTGTCCTAGGCTACATTAGGATGCTGAGGTTCTTCTCTGGCCTCTCTTCACTCGGTCACACTTGCTGGCCTCTGAGGCCAACTCCAGCCCTCTCCAGTCCCCACCCATTTCCCTACACAGCTAATTCTGTCTCAGAGGAGCAGGACTATCATATTAAGTGAGCTAAAAATAGTAAATAAGCCCCAGGTAGCCTCTTGCTACCTCATGAGAGGTACAGGTCTCAATGATGGTTATGAAATTGCAGGACATATTTGAGATGATCTGACTTAGAATATACAAGTCCCAGAGGTCACATAGCAGGGCAGGCTGTCATTCTTCAGAAAAACTGAAACTGAGACACCAAGAGAGCCATGGGATGCCACAAGTGTCAGAAGAAGGAATGGTGTTTTCCAAAACATACCCCAAGTCAGAAATTGCACAGGCAGGTGCCAATATGGCATATGAGTTGTTTCTCCCATGGGCATGCCTGAAGCTCCCAGGTGAGCAGTGTCACCCAGTGTCACCCTTCCCCCAGGGCACTCCAGTCAAGCCAACCAGCCCAGTCCAGGCTGACACACACCACTGCAGACAGGTAGGCTCCCTGCTTGAGCAGTGACATGGGGATGCTGCTCTCTATCTTTAGATTCTTCACAGTAGTGTGCTTTATCAGAAAAAGATGGGGATCGCCTCATTTTCTAAACGTTGTGTGAGAGTAGGAATTTAGAAAGCTGGTTGCACAGCTGCAGATCTCAGTGGGGCTGGGGTCACACTGCTGGGCCCTGGAGCACCAGGGTGGGCTCAGAAGAACACTCACAAGGCTAGAGGCATAGCTCAAGTGGTAGGGCACCTGCCTATCAAATGCAAGGTCCTGAGTTCAAACCCCACTACCACCAAAAAAAGAAGGAGGAAGAGGAGGAAGACACTCAATTCGTGCTCCAGAGGGCACCTGTGGAGAGTGGATTATGAAAAGCCTACGAGAACTGGACATAAGGAGAGATGCAGCCCAGCTGCTTTTCCTAAAATGTTTATCTGTAGGCTGAGATTGGCACAGCCCTGGCCACAGAAAAGGAAAATGCAGAACAGCTGCTTCTCCTAAGTTGTTTACGTTCAGAGAAGCAGGAATGCAGGTTTCTCCTGTTACAATGTCACACCCCTCCCCAAGAACCACTGCTCTACCCTGTTTACCACTGGATATAAAAGACTCACTGAAGGAGGATGGGAGGCTTTTGCTTTTTGGCTTTTGCTTTTGGCTTTGGCTTTTGACTTTTTCTGGCTTTTTGATGTGGGAGGCTTTGAAAGGGAAAAGGATTGCTGAAGGAAAAAGTAGTGCTGAAGGGAAAAGGACTGCTAAAGGGAGAAAATGAATTGCTGAAAGGAAAGTGCTGGAGGGAGATTGCTGAAGGGAAAAGAATTGCTGAAGGAGAATTGCTGAAAGGGAATTGTCAAAGAGGGGTTGATGAAAGTCTGAACCAAGAACTTTACACACAGGCTTTCGAAAAGCTAAGCTAAAGAGAACATGGGATAGTGCAAGTCTGGTGGCAAAGACTTTAAGAGAGAACATGCTAAAAAAAAGCTAAGAGAAAACATGGACAGAGCAAGTCTAAGGAAAGAGGTTTTAAAGAATAGTGAAGCAAGGTTTTAAGAAAAAACTTTAGAAGCAAGGTTTTGAAGAATTGTAAAGGAGTAAGACCTTAAAGAATAAAGATAGAGATAAGAAGCAGAGTAAATGAAGAGAATAATAGAGAAAACAGCAATGAGGGTTGTGCATCTCCACCCAAGCATCCAACACACCTGGCCCAACTTTCTGTCTGTCTATCCTGTGTCCTTTCTGAATCTCCAGTTGCCGCCCAGTTAGGCCCAGTTAGGTTCAGTAGTAACAGGAGCGAGAAAAAGCTCACTCCGAGGCAGACATCTAACTACAGACATTATTTGGAACTGGAGTCCAGGCTGGATAGAGCAGGGCCAATGGAGTCAAGGCCATCCCAGCCCCAGGGGCTTTCCTATTCTCAGCTGTAGCCCTGAGGTAGGTGTGAGGAAGCCAGAGACATGAGGGTAGAGGAAGAACCTCCACAGGTGCAGGGATTCACTAGCTCAAGGAACAGTGTCAGGCTCCTACAGCTACGTCCATCCTTTCCATGCCAGGCCGCCAACATTGGGGCTGGGCGGGGAGTAGGGGAGCAGACAGAAAGAAGCAACACCAGCCAGACAGGGAGCAAGACAAAGATTCTTAGTAAAGGACATAGAAACACACAGAGAAAGGTAGAGCGAGAGGGGCAGAGAGGGAAAGAATGAGACACAGAGAGAGAGAGAAAGGGAGGGAGACAGAGAAGCTGAACTCAAGACCTCCAGCTCACTCATTTGCTTCCTGGGAGCAGTCAGGAGTCAGGTACAGGTCAAGAAGTGAGAAGAGCAAGGACAGAGCTAAGGATGAAAGAAAAGGGATCAAGCAGTAATGTCATGAGAACCAACACCTGCAGTCACTGTGTGTTTAGCACTCACCTAGATGCCACAGGAAATAGGGCAGCTCAGGCCCCTGTCCTTGCTAAGTCTCACCTAGTTGGGAGACCCATCCTCGCATCTGAGAAAGATGGATGACAGGTAAGGAGGTGGGAAGACACATTGGCTATGGTTAGGAAGGCCTTGAATGCCAAGCTCAGGTGGCTGTGGGAGACCTGTTCACACTTGAGCAGGGAAGTGGGTGGTGGAAGCTGTGTTTAGGGATGCCTGCGTCACTTGGTGGCCAGATCTGAAGGGAACGGGGGAAAATTGAGGAAAAGGTGACAATGACCCTCAGCCCCTCTGTGACACCCCTGTCTGGTACGCATCATCTCCTTGACTTTGCTTATGCAGTGCCTTCCACCTGAGCACCCTCTCCTGCCACAACCCTTCTCCTGGCAAACCCCGATTGGGGTTCAAAGCTCTTCTCCACATGCCTGTAATCCCAGCACTCAGGAAGCTGAAGCTGAAGGATCACAAGTTCAAGTCCAGCCTGACCTGTGGAGGAGGCCTCCAAGCAGGGATAGGTGCCCCTCCTGTTCCTGTCTACCCACAAGCCCAAGGAAATCTCCCTGGGCTGGGCTAAGTCAAGTCCTGTTTTGACCCTAACCAGAAAACACAATCTGGCTCCATGGACGTCTTTGCCTTACCACACCCAGAATTTGCCTGTCCCTGGCAGGGTGCCCCACCAGCTGTGCGCCTGAGTGTCCAAACCCAGAAGAGAGGAGTGCACTGGGAACGGAGAGAGTGATGGGGGGGGGGGGCAGCTGCCAATTTGCCTAGAGGTGCTTGGACACAAAGCAGTGACACACTCCCCGGGGAGGAGGGAGTGACACTGGGCACTGAGGACAATTGCCTGGTCAGAGTGCCTGCCTCTGTCTTAAGCCCCGGCTTGGATCCCAGAGGCTGGGCTGAGACTGAACCGCAGTCTCCTCCTTGTCCCCTCCGGCCTTTGGAAGAGGAGAGAGAGGCTCCTGGGTGCCTCCGCCCGGTGGCTGCCCCACCCCGTGGCAGCCATGGACAGATTTCGCATGTTCTTCCAGCACTTCCAGTCCAGCTCGGAGTCAGTGATGAACGGCATCTGCCTGCTGCTGGCCGCGGTCACTGTCAAGCTGTACTCCTCCTTCGACTTCAACTGCCCCTGCCTGGCGCGCTACAACGCGCTCTACGGCCTGGGCCTGCTGCTCACGCCCCCGCTCGCCCTCTTCCTCTGCGGCCTCCTCCTCAACCGGCAGTCCGTGGTGATGGTGGAGGAGTGGCGTCGGCCCGTGGGGCGCCGGAAGAAGGACCTGGGCATCATCAGGTGCGGCCCCATGCCTGACGGTAACCCACGGGCACTATCGGGTGTGCCCACTCCTTCCCCAGCTCTTTGCCAGTTTCCATCTGGAAACGTGTATTTTTATATTTATTTTTGGTGGTACTGAGGTTGGAATGCAGGGCCTCACTCTACCACTTGAGCCACATCTCCAGCCTTTTTTGCTTTAGGTTATTTTCCAGATAGGGTCTCACTTTTTTGCCCAGGCTGGCCTCAGACCCTGTATCCGTCTACCCATGACTCCCACATAGCTGGGATTACAGGCACTCAGTACACTGCCACATCCAGCTTGTTTGTTGAGATGGGCATGGATCTCCTTAACTTGTCCAGACTGGCCTTGATCTGCCATCCTCCTTATCTCTGCCTCTGGAGTAGCTAGGATTACAGCCAAGAGCCACGGTTCCCAGCCATATTTTTTGTTCCTATCATTTGTCACCTTGCATGGCCAATGCTGTAAACATATGAATGATAGAGTTCCCAAGAATTACCCAAGACACATCTGTCACACTAGCCATGGATTGTAACGTGCCACATGCATGAAAAACCCATTGACTACATAGCGGTTTTTCACCTGTAGTGAAAAGCAATGGTTTCCTTAAAGGCTGCATTCTCTCTCTTCCTCTTTCTCTCTCATTTTGCAGTACTGAGGATTGAACTCAGGGCCTCACACTTGCTACCCAAGTGCTCTCCCACTGAGTCACACCTTCAGTCCTTTTGTTTGGTAATTTTTTTTTTTTTTTTGGTGGTACTGAGGTTTGAACTTAGGACTTCATGCTGGCAAAGCAGGTGCTGTACCACTTGAGTCACACCTCTAGTCCATTTTGCTCTGGTTATTTCAGAGATGGGGGAATCTCAAGAACTGTTTGCCCAGGCTGGCCTCAAAATGTGATCCTCCCAGTCTCAGACTCCCAAGTAACTAGGATTACAGGTGCCCAGCTGGTAATTTGTTTTTTGAGATAAGATTTTGATAACTTTGCCCAGGCTGGTCTCAAACTCATGATCCTCCTTCATCCTGTGCATCCCTTCTCTTGTAAAGTCCTTAAGACAAGAACCTTGCCCATTGCACACCTGTGTCCTCAGGTACTGGCACATGGATGGTGCCTATATCAAACTCAGCTGATGGAGTTCACAATTCGGAATGCTCCCGGCCAACCTTGTACTCCGAGCCAAGCTCCGTGCTGTCAGGTGCTTTGCGAGCACACCTGTCTAAATGCTTCCTCAGCCCTGAGTCTGCTCCTTTATCAGACTCTTTTTTTTTTTTTTTGGTGGTAGTTCAGTGGTAGTTCTGGGGTTTGAATTCAGGGTCTCTCACTTGCTAGACAAGTACTCTACCACTTGAACCATGCCTCCAGCCTTGTCAAGCCCATCTGTAGGGATGAGGAACCCAAAGCACAGAGAAGTTAAGTAACTTGGGCAAGCACTCACGGCTATACTAGTAGTGATCAGATTCCAGCTCAGGCTGACTCCACAGCTCAATTCCAGCTGCTCTGTGTGACCACTCCTTCCTCCACCCCCAGGTACATGTGCTCCTCTGTGCTGCAGAGAGCAATGGCTGCACCCCTGGTCTGGATCCTGCTGGCCCTCCTTGATGGGAAGTGCTTTGTGTGTGCGTTCAGCAACTCTGTGGACCCCGAGAAGTTTCTGGACTTTGCCAACATGACCCCCAGCCAGGTACAGCTCTTTCTGGCCAAGGTGCCCTGCAAGGAGGATGAGCTGGTCAGGGATAGCCCTGCCCGAAAAGCCGTGTCTCGCTACCTGCGGTGCCTGTCACAGGTAATTGGGGTCCTGCCCAAAGAAAGATATCCTGCATCGGTTTGGAGTTTGGGCTGGAGTCCACATGATTTCCTGAGGACTCTCCTCACTGCTGGAGACATAGTCAAAGAGCAGGAGGTATGGGGGACCAGAGCAAGATCAGGACAGAGTGAGTTCTTGGAGTGTGAGCGTTGGGGTCCCCAGGACAGGCACCAGATACCCTTACCCTCCCAGAAGTCAGCCAGGCCCAGCCCCAGGAAAGTGCTACAGATGTACTGCTGTGCCTTGCTCCCCACCTCACACACACAATCTTCCCACTGGTCACAAATAATGCTAATTACCATTGTGAGCATTTTGTCAGGCATTGTGTACGCATCAGCTCATTTAATGCTCAGAACAACCAATGGCTCCAATCCAATGACTGGATGCAGTCATTATCTGTTCTGTTTTTCAGATGAGGAGACTGAGGCTCTGAGAGTTTTTAGTTCACAAGGCCAATGAATGTCACATAGCTTGTAAGAGAGTTGGGGCAGGGATGTGAACACACGTGTCATTACTCCTTTAAACCTCCTCCATACAATGCAGGTACTCCCCATATGCACGACTCTCTACCCGCCAACCATTATCCTGGGGAGCAAACACAGCCCCAACCCCATTCGGACTCCTAATTCCATCACCACCTTTCCCAGAGCCCCATGCTGGGCCATATCTACCACAGAGCATTATGGGAACCCATCATACACGAATACTACAAGGACTACAGGTCATAAAGACACAACCCTGGCCTTTGGTGGGGGAAGGTAGACAGGCTCATGGCAAATGCATGCCCACAGTTTGAGAGAGGACCAGCTCTCAGGATGCATTTGATTCTAGTTCAGACTGTGACCTTGGTCATGGCACTGCCCCTCTGGGCCTCAGGTTCCCTTGCAAAATAAAAGGGGGCAGAGGGTTGTTCTCCTCCTACACAAGATCTGTCTCTGCACACTTCAGTGCTCAAGGCACCCCCAAGTTTAGTAGAAAGAGCATGGAGTTTACCATCAGACCAGGTTTGAATCCCGACTCAGCCATAAGTTATCAGTCATGTCAAGTTTAGCAAGTTGTTTGGTTTTCTGCTCCTCCTGTATAAAATACTCATCTTGTTTTCATGTGACCAAATGAGAAAGCTTTGTAATTGATGGGAGTCATATCTACAAATGACAAGGATTCCCCTGTCTCTGTTTAGCAGAGTGACTTCTCTGCTCCAGGTCAGATGGGCGCTCCAGGCCTTCAGCTGAGTCTGGAAGAGACTGTAGCTTCAGAAGGGAGAAGGGAGAGGAGTCGGCCTGGAACACTAGTCTCCTATTCCTAGCACAGTGGCTCCACACAATATACCATGGATGGAAGCATAGATGCCAGGATGGATGAGTAACATACATGAGCATGGGCAGAGGACTGGATAAAAAGATGGGAGGATGGTTGCTGGAAGGCTAGGTGGGTGGCAATAGAAGGAAGGAGAAGGGAATGGAAGCATGAATGGATGGAAGCAAAGGTGGACGGCTAAGAGGATGTGTGATAGATAAGAGGATGGCTGTATTGGAAGCTGATGGACATATAGATAGAGGAGATGATGGATGATGGGATGGATGGGCGAACAGATAGATGAATGAATGCAACATGGAAGAATGAATGGAGGAGGATGGTTGGGAGGATGGATGTCTGAATGGGAAGATGGATGGATCTGATGAAGGAGGGAGGGAGAAGTAAAGGGAGGAACTTTGGAGCACCTTTGCCACACTGTCCAGCACCTGCCCAAGCCCTCACTTCCTGCATCCTTACCCACCAGGCCAGCGGCTGGAGTATCACCCTGCTGCTGATCGTGGTGGCCTTTCTGGCCCGCTGCCTGAGGCCCTGCTTCGACCAGACAGTCTTCCTGCGGCGCAGATACTGGAGCAACTATGTGGACCTGGAGCAGAAGCTCTTCGACGAGACGTGCTGTGAGCATGCGCGGGACTTCGCGCACCGCTGCGTGCTGCACTTCTTCGCCAGCATGCAGGGCGAGCTGCGGGCTCGGGGGCTGCGTCGGGACCCGCTGGAGGGGAGCCTGGAGACCCCGGAGCCCCTGGGGCCCCCAGAAGACCAGGACTACGGAAGCAGGAAGGCCCACTTGCGCGCAGTGTGCAGCCGAGAGCAGGTGGATCACCTCCTGAGCACCTGGTACTCCAGCAAGCCTCCTCTTGACCTTGCAGCATCTCCTGGGCTCGGGAGGACTGGCCTCAGCCACCGTGCCCACATGGTGACTCCTGGCACCAGGCTGTCCCAGCACACCGATGTGTAGAGACCCTACCAGGCTTGAGTAACAGCAGTGTTCCCATGTGAAATGCCCATGGCCTAGGGCCCAGCCTGCCCTTGTTGGCCTCCTTCCAAATAGCTCATAGCTGCCTAGTTTCTAGGTGTGACCTCTTATGGGGACACTCTGCAAGTGTAGACTGATCCAGTGCATCCAGTGCTGGAATCTCTTTTTTTTTTTTTTCCTGTACTGGTGTTTGAACTCAGGATTGAAACACTTTGAGCCACTCCACCAGCCCTTTCTTGTAATTTTTTTTTTTTTTTTTGAGATAGGTTCTCATGAAACTATTTGCTGGGGCTGGCTTTGAACTGTGATCCTCCTGATCTCTGCCTCTCTCTGAGGACCTAGGATTACAGATGTGAACCACCAGTACTCAACTCGGAATCTCATTTCTAACAAGCTCCCTGGATTACCCAGGGTGCTTCTGGTCCCTAGACCAAATTTTGAAGAGCAGGAGTCTGAATAGATCTGTCATGGGTTCTGGGTCTTAGATATCAATTTGAAATAATAAAAATAATCCTACCAGCTGTGCTTCTGTGGTGCCTTCAATGTGCCAGGTGTTGTTATAACTTCTCTACAGACATTAGTTCATTTAATCCTCATAATACCTAATAAAGCAGGTATGATTTTTAGCCCCAGTTTTTAGAAGAGAAAACTGAGACATAAAGGAGCTAGGTTGCCCAAGGTCACCCATAAGAGCCAGGACTGGATCCCAGGAGGTCTGGCTCTGAAGTTTGCTCTGAGCTACCACCTAAGGTGCCCTGCCCTCTAGATACTTTTCTGCTCAATGCCCTTATGGGTTTCCTGCAGTGTCTACCAAGGTTCTCACAGTAAGTTCTAGCAAGTTCTCCTTGTTCTGAGAGCCCTTGCTGACCACTCCAGATGAATGCTTTATGTTTTCCTGTTGAATGTGCTTTTCCATGGCTAGCTGAGTGGCTCAAGCAGAATGTGCTTTTCCTGTGTCTGAAGGTCAAGGGAGCTCACCACCTTCCCAGTTCCCACCAGGTCTACTTCTAGCCAGCCAAGGCCGAATCTGGCCCATCCTCCTTCAAGTGCAGCCCTTTTCTCAGCCTAGCCTTCAGCTGTCCTCCAGCTGGCAGGGCCTCCTCCCTTGCCTGTCCATGGCCACTATCCCTACTGTCAGCAGCCTGACGCCTCCTCCCTCCCCCATAATCCCATTCCCACTCCTTCCCCAGTCATTCTCAGGGTGTCTGCCTGCCACTCTCAGTGAGAAGTTGATACACTGGTGAGGGTTTCCCCAGGGCTAGGTAGGGGCGTGGGGGAAAACCCCGTGAAAGACCAGTGTTAGATCTGCTGAAAAAGCCACCACTCTGTCTGGAAGCTCAAACAGGAAAAGTTGGGAAGATCTAGCCTTTGAGCACCTCTGGGCCTCTGCGCCTTCCTGATGACTCACTCACTCACCACACACACACACACACACACACACACACACACACACACACCATAGCCTCCATCAGCACAGACAGAGGTTGCACACTTGCAGAGCTGGGGTCAGGCTTTTCTATTTCCTCAGGCCCCTGAATGACCCCTGGAGCCCAGTCCCCACCATCAGGCCATCTCTGCTCTCCTGGGCTCTTGCCAAGGGATCTTGTAAGACTAGAAAGTCCCTGCAGCTCAGCCTCCCCGACCTCCTGGCTGTGGTCAGGCCATGCAAATGTCTGCCATGGTGCTGAGACCAGGCAGAATTTAGGCAAATTGTTAGCAGAGATTGAGGAAGAGGGTGGAGAGAGACCTTGGGTGAGCTTCCAGACTGGAGAAAGGAGGCTGGGGACGCTGCTTTGGGCTCCAAGGAAACAGCATTCAAACTAGCAAAAAGCCACCAACTGTAATCAACACTCTTGCCTTTTGTTTTGTTTGTTTTTTGAGACAGGGTCTCACTATATAGCCTCGAACTCGAAATCCTCCTGCCCCAGCATCCTGAGTGCTGGAATTACAGATGTGTAGCATCATGTCCAGCCTTATACAGTACATAAAAAACACCTACTGCATAGGAAGCACTGTGCCAGGGAACAGGGAAGACAAGTCACAGATGATCTGCCCTCAAGGAGCTCACTAACTATTACAGGGTTGGGGATGGGTAGAAAAAGACTGCTACTCCAAAGCAAACAGTACAGTACCATAGAGGTCAGAGCTGCCATATGCCACGTGCCACAGGGCTTTTGCAGGGAGAATAAGGCCCCAAGCTGGGGATGAGGGAGGCCTCACAGTGGAGGTGAAATTTGAATTGGTCTTGGGGGTAGGGCAGGTTGTGATATGAAAAGTCAAATGAGGGGCAGTGCAACAGAAAATCAAGGGAGGATACAGCAAGAACAAAGGCATGGAGTCCAGTAGAGGGCCAGGCCTGTTGCATTTTCTCATTAAGCAGATTCTTAAAAAAGGTCTAGGGGACCAGGGAGCAAGACAGATGCTGTCCTATCTTACTGAAGCTTCCAGTCTGGAAGAAGAGACAGGAACATGACAGGTGAACTCACAACCAAATAGAAGGTGCTAGTCCAGCCTGGCAGAAGTAAAGGACATTGGCCAGAGGGCTGAGGAGTCCACCAAGAGATGCTCCCTGAACCCTGAACCCTGAACCCAGTAATGCATGCACACAGCAACACATTCTCTGAATCCTCCTCCCTCGGCAGCCTTCAAACACATCACCCACCCTCTTTGGGCCCTAGGTGATGTGGTTTCAGATTCCCAAACCTCTTCGCCTTAGTCCATCTATACTACCGCTTGCTCACATCCTTGCAAGAGTGAGATGCCTGGGGCTGGGCATAGTGGTGCATGCCAGCAATTCCAGCTACACAGCAGGAAGAGGTAGGAGGCTCACGGTCTGAGGCCTGCCCCAGAGCAAAAAGCACCAACTCCTATCTGAAAAACAAACGAAAGGACCTGGGTACAGTGGCTCCTGCCTGCTACTCAGGAGGTGGAGATTGAGAGGATCATGCAGCACAGGCAAACAGTTAGTGACACTATCTCAACTAATAAAAGCTGGGCTGGGCGTGGTGACACATGCCTGTCATCTCAACTATGCAGGAAGCCTAAATAGGAGAACCGTGGTTCAGGCAGGTCGAGGCATAAAAATCAGACCCTATTCAAAAAATACAGCAAAACGAGCTGGTGATATGGGTCAAGTGGTAAGCCCAAGGCCCCAAGTTCAAAACCCAGTCCTAGGGAAAAAAAAAAAAAGAATAAGCTGCCTGGAACCCTGGAGGCCACCCAACCTGAGAGTGAGGGACACAGGTAGCAGGCTCCCACCTGGCTCCTAAAGACCCTTCTCTCCAAGGAGAGCAGCTGTCTTGGAAGCCTCGCTCATCAGGACTGAGCTAAACTGAGGCCTCTCTAAAGAAGGGGCTGTTATACTGAGATTGCAAGGATGAACAGCAGTTTCTCAGGTGAAGGATATTCCAGGAATATACAAAGCATATGCAAAGGCTCTGGGGTAGGAAAGGGTTTGTCCGGCTTGGGGAGTTGAAATGAGGCTGGGAAGGTGAAGGATAGACTCTGAGGGGACAGTGCCCCACTGCCAGTTCTCACAGGGCCCGTAGGCCCTATAAAGGATTATGGACTTCAGCCATTGAAGAGAACAAAGTATGCAGCAATTTAACCAAATGTTTGCTTTTAAAATACTATATTGGCTACAGCCTGGGAGTGGCTTGAGTGGACCACTGTGAACTGCAGAAGGCAGGCAGAACTGAGGGGCCTAGATGAGGAGGAGATGGAGGGAAGAGAAAAGTCAAGGCATTTAGGAGGTAAAATAGACTTTGGGGCTGGGGTACGGCTAAAGCAGTAGAGCACCTGTCCAGCAAGAACAAGGCCCTGAGTTCAAACCCCACTGCTACAAAAAGAAAGAAAGAAAGAAAGAGTCTAAGGAGGGTGTCCTGCTTAAAGTATACACCAAGACACTGCATTAGTCAGACTAGGCTCAGAACGTATAAATAAAGTGCACTAAAAATAAGCCCAAAATGTCAGTGACTTAACAAAGTTATGTCTCATTCAAAGACTGAGGTCGACACAAGGGGAGGAGGTTGGGGGGTGGGTGCCCAGCTGAGAGATGCCCCCTCCCCAGCTTGTGGGGCCACCATCGAGACACATGGTATTCCCCAGAAGCAGGGCCTGGGACAAGAAGTGAGGACAAGAAGCTTACGTGACAGCTGCTCCCAGGAAACCCTGGAAGGAGCAGATGGACCAAGAGAAGGAAGAAAGACAGCCAAGAACAGAGGCCCCATCATGACCACAGATACCGAGCCCAATCTCACAGGGAACCATGGGAACCATGCCTGAGTCAGCGCATCTCAGGAGGAAGGTGGGGTGTTTCCTCTCATCTCCCACTGGGCACTAACTCGGCCCCACCAGCCAGAATGACATCCAGCAGCCCTTAGGAGGTAGAGGGCATGCTGGGTAGTCACAGAGGCATAGGGACATGTAGCTTCCGGGCTCAGTATCACAGGGGAGAGAGAACAGAAAGGGGTGGGGGAGAGTTAGACCAGAAGTCAGTCACATGTCAGGTTGGGCTCTGTTAGTCACATGTCACGTGAACTCTGGCAAGCACTGCCCTTTGTCACAGCTGCGACCCAACGTGACTCCACAGCTCAGATAAGAATAGCTACACTCTCCTCAGGTAAAAATTACCCACCTGGGGCTAGGGTGGAGTCAGGGCAAAGCTCACATGGCCTGGATCCCAGCCCCAGCACCAAAAAAATCCTCACCTCGTACCTCTGATTACCCGGCCTCACTGAACCTGAGCTGCCTTGGTGGCCACACGCCATCCTTTGCTGCTGCCTCCTCCACTGCCAGGTGCTTGGGATGTGCCACCAGCTGCTGGATGGGTCAGTGCCACTTGAGCACCACTCATGCTCTCCTAGGCAAATGCAACATTTTACTAATGGTCTGACACACGTTCTCTCCAGGGGCCCCTTTTGCATGGCCCAGGCAGACTCAAAATGCAAGGCCAGAGCTCAGGTGTGAAGACAGTCATTATTACCACTCCAACATTAAAACCATCATCTACAGAGAACTTGTAGTGCCCCTGGCACTGCACTAAGCTCTTCCTCTTCCCCTCCATTGGCTCATGCAATCCTCACAAAACTCTGAAAGAGGGGAGGGAGTCTATGATTCTCCCCACTTCACAGATGAGAAGACTGAGGCACCCAGAGGTTACATTACTTACCCAAGGGACCTGGCTAGGATGTGACACAGTTGAGACTTGAACTCAAGAGAAAAACTTTGGTTGCTCAGTGAGACAGCGAGTGAATGGCAGGGCCTGGAAGTGGATCCATTGGGCAGGGAGGGGAGACAGGGTCCAGGAGGCAGCACAAATGAAGGGAAGGTGTGGGGAGCCAAGGCATCTCCATGTCCTACTATAACAAAATACCACCAGTTCTGCAGGCTGCACATCCAGGACAAGGGTGCCAGCAGCGTTGGGTTCTGGTGGGGGGCCCTCTTCCTAGTAACATGGGGGCGTCTGTCTCTCACTGTGTCCTCATATGGTTAGGGAGGGGACATGACAGCTCCCTACAGGCCCTTTTATCTTTTATCTTTGTTTTTTATGAGACAGGGTCTTGCTATGTACCCCCCAGCTAGCCTTGAACTCACAATCCTCCTGCATCTGCCTCCTGAGGGCCAGAATTACAAACACATGCCACTCAGGTTCTGGGGTCCCTTTTGTACAGGTACTAATTCCCTTTATGAGGGCTCCACCTTCATGACCGAACACCTCCTAAGGAACCCACTTCCAAGTACCATCACATTGGGGGTTAGGATTTCAATGTAGGAATTTGAGGGGAACAAAAACATTCAGCCCATAGCTTCCCAAGTAGCCTGTGTCCCTTCTGTGCCACTAACAGTGAGGCTATGTTGACCTCAGCTGGCGCCCATGAGGTCTCCTCCCCGACCCCCGCCCTCTGGGGAACCTGCCCACCCCTGCATCTTCAATCCAGTGCCTGGAGATGGTGATAACAGCAGCTTGACGCCAGGCGAGCTAAGGGGATGGGAGACATCAGTACGGAACCTAGAGAAGACAAAGCCAGGCCACTACATTTTCTTCATCTTACAGAATTATGATAAGAAAATGAAATGCAGGGTATTAGGAAAGATAGTAAATACTGAATTTGTATAAAACATCCAAATGAAATCTCCTCAATGTCTCAAAAGGAGAAACTTGAGGTTGCTTTAATGAGCATAATTTTTCTCTTTTTTTGGCAGGACTGGGGTTTGAACTCAGGACCTCATGCTTACTAGAAAGGCACTCCTACCACTTGAACCATGCCCCTAACCTTTTTCTTTTGTTTTTTTGAGATTGGGCCTTGCTATGTGGCAAGATTGGCCTTGAACTCAGGATCCTCCTGCCTCAGCCTCCCAAGTGCTAGGATTACAGGTGTGTACTACCACACTTGGCTTGAGCACAACTTTTTAATATCAGACTTTTTTTTTTTTCATGACTTTTCAGAGCATGACTATAGTCTTGCTATATAGCCTAGATTGGCCTCAAACTCAGTCTCCAACTGCTAGGATTACAGGCGTGTACTGCCATGCCTGGCTGACCACATGCAATTTTTGTTTAATGATGATTGCTTCAAATGGTTGATAAATACCACCCCACCAAAAAACTTGGGAGACAAATTTTAACTAATTTTTATAACTATTTAAAGATTTACAACAGTTCAAATGATACTTAGACTCTAATACTTCCTTTACATTCAGTGACAACTGTAACCAAAATTCTTGACATGACAATGATGAATTTACAATCCAATGAAACCCTACAGCAATAATGTTTAAATAACATAGCAGTTAGAATTTGCAGGGTGTGCATACTTGGTAGAGTAGGCACCTTTCAGCCAGCTTGAATGTCACTAAGAGGCACATTGCTTTGAACAGGGAACCATGTCCAATATAGGCACATAACACAGAGATTCCAGGTGGCCTCCTGAAATCAACCCTCCTGGTTTCCTGAGCCAATCCAGATCTACCCTACCCCTACCTACCACACCTGGGGCTCTGCGCAAGCCCTAGCAGCACTCAGACCCCTGTAGGTCATGCCTATCTACACGGTGGTAGATGTCCAGGGATGGTTGCCTCCTTTGCCTGGTCTCCCTCATCTTGCTCCCTCATCTGTGGGTGTCCCCCAGACAAGCCCCTGTCAAGGGTCCCCAGGGAGCCACAAGCCTAGGGATTCTAGTTGTCCCAGGGTCAGCCTGATGTCTGAGAGGAGGGCTATTCTTCCTCACCTGTGTCCTATTTGTGACACACTAGCGTTCCCACCTGAAACAGTAGAACTAGAGGACTTGATTCAGCAGGAAGAAGTCAAAAAACCACTTCCCCCACCCTCCTCAGTCCTTCACTCCCACCCTGTAAGAGGGCTGGCCCTGGTTCAAATCCTACTCCTCTACCCACGTGGCCTCTAGCTAGTATCAACCTCGATGAGCCTCAGTCCCCACCTCTGTAAAATGGGGACACCAATACCGACACCACAGGATTGTATGTGGTTACACAATGTGTGAAGTGCCTGGCACAGAGCTCCACACAGGAGAAGCCTGGGTCAGTGCAGAAACAAAGACCACTGATGTGGTTACACGCACACCTACATACACAGACACAAGCCCCAACAAGCTCAACAAGGACACAAACATGGGTATGCACAGAGCTGTGGACCCCATGGAGACGCCCTGTCTGGGTTCTGCCTCAGCTCCACCCTACTCCCATGCCCCAGACAGGAATCATCCAGTTGGAGCCAGATCTGACCTGCTCTTCTGGGTGAGTTACTGGCTTCAAAGGGGGCCCTTCAAATGGGTCCCCTTTGATGAGTGGATGAGGGGGCCTGGCATGGGCCTGCAGACATTCTGGAGGCCCCAGCTCCAGGCATGAAGTCCTATCTCTCCATCCCTTTACTTTTTGATCTGGGGAAACAGAAGTAAGAAATGGAGCCAGGAAAGGGTTTGTTGTCCACAACTCACAAACACACAGGCGTCAGGCAGGACACTAAGACACTTGCATGACACTCATGGGCCACCATTCCTGCCCAGGCAACCCTGCCCAACCAAGTCCCACATCTCCACCACCTCAGCCACTGCCTCTGGGACCGCCACTGTGTCTCCACCTCATCATACCACCATTGTGTGAACTGACAGGAGCCCCTGTGGGGCCCTAACGCAGTGTGAAGGAAAAAAAAACCCATAGAGGAGCACAAGGAGGTGACATGGTGCCCAGGAGCCCAGAGGCCTCTGCAACTCTCCAACTCTAGCCCCGCCGGAGACACCATCTCTCTTCATCCTGTGCCCAAGCTGTCCTCTCCCCCTCCCTCCCACACCTACAGAGAGCTGGTCCCTATTGGGCGGGCCTTGTGGCTTCCTAATGCAGAGGCAGCTGGTGGGGGGGAAGAGGAAGGGAGTGGCACAGCTCTCACTGCACCCACAGGATTGGTCAAGCTGTGTCCTCTCGGCCACCATCTGACTAGAAGATTCTTCAAAGCGCCAATGACCCCAGTCACTGCCCGAGCTCTGCTGGTCCAGCCAGGTGAGCCAAGTCACGAGGTGGGTTCCCAGTGGGCAGGGTGGGCTGCAGGAGCCATCTGGGAGGCAGTGGTGAGGTGACAAGAGGCCACAGGGCCCCGCAGGGGGGGCAGGGGGACACGATGGACAAATTCCGGATGATATTCCAGTTCCTGCAGTCCAACCAGGAGTCCTTCATGAACGGTTTCTGTGGTATCATGGCGCTGGCCAGTGCCCAGATGTACTCAGCTTTCGACTTCAACTGCCCCTGCCTGCCGGGCTACAACGCAGCCTACAGCACGGGCATCCTGCTGGCGCCTCCCCTGGTCCTCTTCCTGCTCGGCCTGGTCATGAACAACAACGTGTCCATGCTGGCTGAGGAGTGGAAGCGACCCCAGGGCCGCCGCGCCAAGGACCCGGCTGTGCTCCGTTACATGTTCTGCTCCATGGCCCAGCGCGCCCTCATCGCGCCCGCCGTCTGGGTTGCTGTCACCCTGCTGGATGGCAAGTGCTTCCTCTGTGCCTTCTGCACAGCTGTGCCTGTGGCCACGCTGGGCAATGGCAGCCTAGTGCTTGGCCTGCCACCTCCAGAGCTCTCTCGTCTGCTGGCCCGGGTGCCCTGCCCTGAGATCTACGATGGGGACTGGCTGCTGGCTAGAGAGGTGGCTGTGCGCTACCTGCGCTGCATCTCCCAGGTGAGGGGCCGGGTCTCCTCACAGACCAGGGTCCATCCGGGAAGGCCCTGTCCCACCCTCTCCACCTTTCAGTCCAGAGGGCCAGTCCTTTGTCCTGAGGGCCCCAGAGAGGAACCAAGAGCTCAGATGACCCCACCTCCTCCACCCTGAGCTCCGAGCTTAGAAGCTGGGGAATTTGCATCCTTTTCCTCTCCCAGGCCTAGGCAGTGGTAAGGCTGGTGGGTGGCTTGGCCATTTGGCTATATTTCCCTGGCAAATGCCTCCAGCTGGTACCTTCTTGCTCGGGAGTAGGAGCTGAGGGTCTGGATGACTTGGAAAGAGAGTACATGGTGATGGTTGTGACTTAAAGGACCACCCAAGCATCATGACTTCAGCAGTGAACCAAGCACTATTGAGGAGAGGGACAGGAAGCTGGGCCTGCCCTGCAAGGGCTGGAGAGACATGCGCACTGTGCTCTGGACAGTGTGGACCCCTTAGCTCCCCTCTCAAGCTGTGGCCTTTCCTCTCTCCTGCAAGGCCTCCATCACCATCCAGATGCCCCTTGTGAGTCCTGCACTGTGAGTATCCAAGCCCAGCTCTGCTTCCCTCCCAGGCTTGCACCTCCTCTCCTGCGGACCCTTGTCTCATCACTCCAGATGGGACACCTCAGGGCCTTGGGCAGGTGTCCCTCCACTTGAACTTTGGGGCCAAAAGGGCCCCCAGAAGGCACAGGCAGCCTGACCCATAGACATGTTTCATTTGGCCTGCAAAGATAGATTCCGAAGTCAAGTTTAAAAAGAACTGACTTTATCTTAAAACCAGCAACTTTCAAATAAAAATTAGATTTCCAGCTTCATTTGAAACATCAGAAGATCCAGCCCCTCTGGGTCCACATTTGCTTGGTAAGCAGCAAGGGGTACCCCAAGCCGAGCACACGCTCTGCAGCTCCCCACCAAGGCCCCTGATAGGTGTTGCATTAGTCCCTGCCAAATGTTTCTCTGTGCAGCTGGGGGCCTGACACGAAACAGGGGGCATCCTGCCCCGTGCCCTATGATGGGTTACTGACAGGTAACCAGGGCTTTTCAGCAAAGCTTGAGCACTGCCTAGTTTGTCTAGGACCACTTGAGGGCCCAGATCAGACTCCAGTAGAGGAGGTGCTCATTTGGGGACAGTGTCAGTGCCAGAGCCAAACGAGAGGCCCAAATCTCAGAGGTTTAGGAAGGGCTCCTAGGCCTGAGGAAGTGAAGGCAGGCTTCCTGAAGGAAGAGGCATGGCCCCTGAGGGCCCGCTGCCATCATAATGGCTAACAGTGAGCACTCTGTACCAAGCACTGTGTTATGCTTATCGCTTCATTTAGTTTCCCCAAGAACCCTATGAGACAGATCTATCACTAGTCCATTTTATAGATGGGGAAATGGAGGCCAGGAGGTAAAGTTGCCCCCCCTCCGAGAAGTCCCTAGTGAGTGTTTTGGGGGTTTGGACAGGCTTAGAGGCAGGGGGCCAGTGCCTGCTGACACGCTCCTCTCTCTGCAGGCACTGGGCTGGTCCTTTGTGCTGCTGACCACGCTGCTGGCATTCGTGGTGCGTTCCGTGAGGCCCTGCTTCACGCAGGCTGCCTTCCTCAAGAGTAAGTACTGGTCCCACTACATCGACATCGAGCGTAAGCTCTTTGACGAGACGTGCACGGAACACGCCAAGGCCTTCGCCAAGGTCTGCATCCAGCAGTTCTTCGAAGCCATGAACCATGACTTGGAGCTAGGGCACGCCCACGGGGTGCTGGCCACAGCCAACACTGCCTCGGCTGCCCACAGCCCCTCTGATGGTGCCGAGGAGGAGAGGGGAAAATTGCATGGCATCACCGATCAAGGCACCATGAACAGGCTGCTCACGAGCTGGCACAAATGCAAACCACCACTGAGGCTGGGCCAGGAGGAGCCACTGATGGGCAATGGCTGGGCTGGGGGTGGGCCCCGGCCTCCACGCAAGGAGGTGGCCACCTATTTCAGCAAAGTGTGAGCGATGGCCTGTTAAAGAGGCAAGAATAGGGATCTGAGCCCACCACTCTCAGCTCCTTAGACCAGACAGAGGATGAAGGCTTTAGGTGCTGGGCATTTGGTCCTGGGGCAGAGCCTCACGACCATGTGAAAAAGGAAATTTGGAGCTGAGAGAAGGGACCCGTACTCCTCCAGCTGGGACATTGTCCTGGGTGGCCATGAGGCAGGAGGCAGTATTGCTCAGAAGTGTCCAGCCCTGCCCCTGGAGGCCAGGAACAGATGGTTTGCACCGCCCCTCCCCTCCCAGGCCTCTCCTAGAGCTGCCGCTGTCACTCCTGACTCACTGACCCCTTTCACAGGCCTCACAGGCTGGCCTGCCCCAGTCTCCCCTCTTACCCAGGACTTTTGAGGATCTCCCTTATACCCAGGCTGCAGGAACAGGAGGGCTTCCGGGCCTCTCATAATCTTGGTCAGAGTCTTCTGGGGGAGGCTGAGTGGGCCAAGTGTCATAAGGACATGACTCGGGGCCTCGGCCGGGATGACACACATATGTGATATCATGCCGAGAGCTAGGTCCAAGTGGAAAAAGCCAAGGTGTGTGGTCAAGGAGGTCACTAGGTAATTGTCAAGGTGAACTCCATATCTGCTTTGCATCCAACATAAAAAGGCCTCCCATAAGGGGTCCTTGGGGACCACACTACCCCCTCATGGCCAGATCTCAGGAGGAAATCAGACCATGCACAAGATGGGAGCTGACGTCTCCCATTTTCTCACAGACCCCATGCCCTGGGAAAGGGACACTACCTGCTAAGCTGCTCTGAGGTGGGAATGAGGTGGGAAGGGGGCAGCCTAGAGCCAAAACAGTTCAGACTGAAGAGTGGGACAGCACTGGGTCAAATGCTGCCACTTACAAAGTGGGTCCCTGGTCCCAGGTGCTTTATTTTTCTGTGCCTCAGTTTCTTCATTTGTACAATGAGGATAAGAGCATCTACCTCACGGGTCATTGCATATAAAAGCACGTTACATGGTAGGCACATAGGACAGGCGAGATTATGGGTTTCTTCATTTCTGAACATGAGAGCCTCCCTCCTCCTTCCCAGGGGAAGGGACAGGAGACATAAGGAACAGAAATGTTCAGGCTACTATCTTTTCCAGGAGGAGGACACTAAAGTCCAGATAGGCTTCTTGCCCCACCCCTTATAGCTTTCAGTCCTAAGCCCTGCCCATCTCAGGACTCACTTTGGTCTTGGTCATGATTTCCATCCTCCCTCAGCCACCTTCCCTTTACTGTCACCTTCCCTTTCTGAGACCCAGTGTCCCCGCCCTTCTTTATATGAGAGGAGAGCAGATCCCTGTGGGCAGAAAGGGACTGGGAGGAGGGCCCGCCCAGGAAGGACGTGGAGCATCAGGTGAACACAGTTCAGCGGTGGCAGGCCTGGGCTTCTAGGGGGGAACAGGAAGCTGGGAGGTACCAAGAGGGACAAATGTGAAAGCAAGAGCAGAGCTTTGGTCAGTAGACCTGGGTTCAAACACCAGAGCCATGGACGCTAAGGCAAATCACTAACCTTGCATTGCACTTGTCTGTGAAGTGGTCCTGGAAAGACCCGCGTCTCAGGATTGCAGTGAGGAAGAAGGGAGCTGGCTCTCAGGAAAAGGTTTGGGATGTGTTTGGTGCATGGTGGGGTCTAAAACACACACACAAGCAAACAAACCAACGCTAGTCCCTTTCCCAGCTCAGCGAGAGGGAAAGTAACCCTCTCCAGTAACCACAGCCTTGCAGAGTTGACAGGGGCCTGGGATCATGTCCCCCAATCCTAGGCCATTAGGTAAACCCTCAGGACTCTCCTCTTCAGCATTTCTGACCCGTGACTCTCCAGCCTCGGAATGCACACTCCTACTGCTGGAGCTCACAGTCCACTTCTGGGGACAGGCTGGGCAGCTTCCTTCAGGAACCTGCCTCTGTGTGATTTCCACCCAGCAGTGCTTCTCTGCCAGCAGGGCCCCAGAGGATCCCTAAACTCCTAAACTCCTGGATTCAATCACCAGCTGTGAAGAAACAGGAAGTGGTACAGGGGAGCTAGCTGAACTGTGGGTGAACAGTGCTGGGGGATGGTTTGTTGAGTCAGTGTAGGATGCTCAGAGAAAAAAGAGCCAGAGTGGGCACGGGGCCTGACTTTTTGTATCCTATGAGGTCTGATGGCATCCTCCCCCTACTTTGCTCCTTCCAGCAGCTTCTGCCTGGTGTGGGGGGGTCAAGCATGGGGAGGGTAACCCTGGAACGCATGAGGGTCATCCCCAGGCAGCATCTCCCTGGAGGGCCCCACTGGACCGCAGTAGAGCACGGGGTAGTCGAGGCAGGGCTGAGGGTGGAGGGCCAGCATGAACGAGCCCCACCATCGGCGGGACAGGACGCAGCAGCTGCAAACAAGCTCTGCCACTTCCTCCCCTCTCGCGCCGCCTTCTCTGCCCGGAGCCAAAGGCTGTTTACCCATTCGCCGGCGCAGAAGTTCATCCCACTCTTTCCTTCTTTCTTTTCTGGAGTTAAATTTGTCTGTAGATGCTTGAAATTTGTCTGTACACACCTGGAGGTAAATTAGTCTGTAGACGTCTGCCCGGAGCCCTGTTGATCTCAATCGTCCGGTTGGCGAGCGGGAGGGAGCCAGCACCCGCGCGGGCTTCACTTCAGGCGCGGCTGGCGGCTGCCTGCGATGTCCTGGGGCCCACGCCTGCCCAGAGTCACCCCACCGAGAACCCAACCCTGAGGAGGTCAAGGCCACTGGTGCCTGCAGCCAGCCCCAGGTAAGGAGGGGCCCCTTCCTGGGCGTGCCAGGTGTCAGAGGAGCCTGGCCGGGCGGGTCCCAGGCGGTCCAGAGGGATTGATTGTTCGCGGAGGAGGCCTTAGCCATGACCCGCCACTTGGGGCAGGGCCAGTCCCAAGCGGCACGCAGGGAATGTCCCAGGGAGAGGCTCCTAGCTAGGGTCCCCCCTACACTCGGGGCAGGGTGGGTCCTGCCGCCTCCCCAGCTGCCTGTCTCCTGTCCTCCCCGATGCAGAAGGAGGTCCCACTCCCACTGGGAGTAGCTGGCGCCTGGCACACTAGTCTCAGAAGACGGTCTGATCCGTCCTTTTCTCATCACCCACCCTGTACCCCACTTTGGGTGAATTTATGAACCCAAAGCTCCCACAGGGAGCTAATTAGGTGCCTAGACACCAAGAAGGGGGTAGATGGGGATATGCCATTAGTGGACTTATCCCCAGTAACAAACAAAATGACTGTCCCTTTCCCATGTAGTTAAAACAGAGCCCCTGTGGGGGAGAATCAGGAGCACACAGGGCCACATGGCCCTGCCTGGGCCCATCTGGCAGCCTTAGCAGAGAGTGGGTGGAGAGGGGGTGGAGAGATGAGGCATAGAAGAACTAGCACAGGACCTCCCCATCTCTGTTCTCTGCTCATCTCCTCCTCCACACCCTTGCTTCACTTCTGGAGTTTTGGGTTTTATCCTTATGATTGGGAGGCCATGGAGCCACACCCTGACTGACTCTCAGGGTGTGTGGGTGGAGCCTGGGGAGAGTGTTGGGACTGAACTTTGCAGAAGCCTGAGGCCATGACCACTTCCTGGCAAGCTGCCAGCATTGCTGTAGCCCAGACCTACAGAGCAGCTTCTGGAAGGGCCGGTGGACACAGTGAACCTACCTTCCCCAAGGCTGTCGGTGGCTGGCAGGCAGAGCAGTTTCCAGGCTGGGGCTCTGGAGCAGGGCTGCTGGGAGGAGGAAAGAAAGAGAAGACATCATAGGGGCAAGGTCGGCAGGAGGTAGAGAAAATGAAAGAGAAACCTAGTTCCGACTCACCTTTGTCCACTTCCTAAGTCTCCTTAAATGGTGATCAAAAGTCCTGCTCAGAGCCAGGTGCCCCAGAGTCAGGCACTGGTAGCCTCCTAGCTAACTGGGTGTTGAAATCAGAATCTTGGCTTGAGGCCAGCCTAGTCAAATAGTTTGAGAGACATCCCATCTCCAAAATAACCAGAGCAAAATGGACTGGAGGCTTGGTTCAAGCAGTAGAGCGCCTACTTTGTAAGCATGAAACCCTGAATTCAAACCGAGTCCCATCAAAAAAAAAAAAAAAAAAACCTGCTTAGGCATCTCCATATATGGCCTCAAGCAGAGCACTTTTTCCTCTTCGGGCATTAGTTTTCTGATATTTGCAGCCAGAAGAATCATCCCCACTCTAAAGACTGGACAGGGTGAGAGAAATATTGGGCTCCACAATCCTGAGAGCAGGATCCAGAATGACCTATTCTCTTTCCATACATGAGGACAGTGGCCCAGAGGAAAAAAAATCTGAAGTGTGTTGGGACACTGAGGTCTCCAAATTAAAAGGTCTTGTGAACCGAGGGATGTCTTGTCCAGTCAGACTCACCACTAACCAGAGTCCCTCAACCCCCTCCTCCCAGTCCTTTATTCACCAGGACAGCTACTCCAGCTTGATACCCATGACATACCTTCAAAATAGTCCCTGGCTTCTCAGCACATTAGCACCACCTGGAACTCCAGAGAGGGGACATCCCATACCCCCAACACACAGGACCATACCTTAATCAGCCTGAGAAGACAGTGGTGGCAAAAAGACCTGATTTTGAATCTTAGCAATGCCACTTACATGTGATCTGGCCAGTGGCTCACTCGCTCACTCTTAGGAAGCTTCCATCTCCTCTGTGTACAAGGGGGATATAATCCTCAACGGGGGATCATGGGATGGGCCACAAGGAATGTAGTGCACCTGGCACATAGCAGGAATTTTGTGAACAATGGCTACCACCTTTCCCCTGGGCCCTAGGCTCCTTCCCATCTCACCAGCCTGGCCACATCCTCAACACCCATGTTTAGAGACAAACATTTATCAATCATCTGTGTTCTACAGGAAACACCAAAGCTACTACAGGTGATAAAATGGCACAACTGTGCTCTACCTTCGGGTGTCCTCCAGCCTGAACTCCTTCCTAGTCTCAGCAGGAATCATCAATCCCATTCCCTTCTGCCTCCTCTCCTGCACTTGGTCCTTACCTAGCCCACCTGTCACTATGGCAGCCCTGATCGCAGAGAACTTCCGCTTCCTGTCACTCTTCTTTAAGAGCAAGGATGTGATGATTTTCAATGGGCTGGTGGCACTGGGTACAGTGGGCAGCCAGGAACTGTTCTCTGTGGTGGCCTTCCATTGTCCCTGCTCGCCGGCCAGGAACTACCTATATGGGCTGACAGCTATTGGAGTGCCTGCCCTGGCACTCTTTCTCATTGGTGTCATGCTCAACAACCACACTTGGAATCTAGTCGCTGAATGCCAGTATCGGAGAGCCAAGAACTGCTCAGCTGCCCCCAACTTCCTCCTCCTGAGCTCCATCCTGGGTCGTGCAGCTGTGGCCCCCATCACCTGGTCTGTCATCTCCCTGCTGCGCGGGGAGGCCTACATCTGTGCTCTCAGTGAGTTTGTGGATCCCTCCTCGCTCACAGCTGGGGAAGAAGGCTTCCCACCAGACCATGCCACAGAGATCCTGGCCAGATTTCCTTGCGGGGAGGGCCCTGCCAACCTGTCAGGCTTCCGGGAGGAGGTCAGCCGCAGGCTCAAGTATGAGTCCCAGGTAAGGGACTGGGCAAAAGGCAGCTCTCCTTCCTCCCTCGTGGTGGCTGGTGGGAAGTATAGGGGTGGAGCAGTGTGAAAAGTTTGGCATCAGCATTGGCTCACAGATGGGTTAGTGTTTGATGGCACAAGGGTCAATTCCAGTTCCAAGTAAGAGGTTTTGTTCTGTGGATTGAACCTGAGGCCTCATGCCTGCTAAGAACAAGCTCTACCACTGAGCTCCACCCCTCACCCTAAGTGATAAACATTAAAGGAACTTTCTCCTGCCTCAGACTTAATCTTGATCCCAGCCACATATAAACTCTTTACCTTAACCCAACAGAATGAGCCCCTGCAGGCCACCTCAGAAACATTTGCTGTGGGCCTTGATAGTGAAGTATGACTGGTTCCAGAGATGAACACATTCCTGTTCCAAGAAGAGTCCAGGGCAGTACTGAGTCAGTACTGACATAAGGGGAGTTCCTTGTGGCTTGGGAAGAGGCAGTTACTACCCAAGCCTCACAGAAGCCTTCGAGACATTCTGGGGTGGAGGCTGGTCAGGAGAGATGGGACAAGAGTGGGCAGAAACAACAAATCTGAGCTGGAGGTGTTAACTTGGAGAAGCAGAGGGTGAGGGGGACAAGAAGAAATCTTAAGTAGACAGAGTATCAGTGCTAGAGACAGCCCCAGAAATGCAAAATGGTAAACACAAAAATAGTAACCAAATACTCTCAGATTTCTCTGTACAGAAGCAAATGGGCAGAGATGGCATCAATGGTCCTTGCCCTAACAGGCTTCCATCCAAGCGCTTTAGACAAGCACGCGGGCGCTCTCAAAACAAGGCAGCCCGCGATGATATGAGGGAACCAGCCATGAGGGATTTAAGGAGACAAGGTTAATCCTAGAGGGGCCTTTGAAGACTGGAGGTAGCATCTCAGCCGAGCCTGGTTTGACCTGGGTATTTTTGTGTGTGTGATGCTGGGGATCAATAAATGAGCTGGGTTTTGATGGGAGGGGAACACCCTTGGGGTTTAAGACATTGTAACAGAAAATGCAGGGGGCACAGTCTAATAACAGAACACATGTGCCACCTTGGGGTATAAAGGAGAAGAGGAAGGGCTGCTGGCCCTGCTTCCCTTACAGAAGCAGAATGTATTCCTTCTTTCGCCGTTCCCCAGGATAAGCAGGGCCCAGGCAGCTCCCTGCCCCTCCTGAATCTTGCCTGTTCTCTGGCCAGCTCTTTGGGTGGCTGCTGATCGGTGTGGTGGCCATCCTGGTGTTCCTGACCAAGTGCCTCAAGCATTACTGCTCACCACTCAGCTACCGCCAGGAAGCCTACTGGGCACAGTACCGTACCAACGAGGACCAGCTGTTCCAGCGCACAGCAGAGGTGCACTCAAGGGTGCTTGCAGCCAACAATGTACGCCGCTTCTTTGGCTTTGTGGCACTCAACAAGGATGATGAGGAGCTGGTGGCCAAGTTCCCAGTAGAAGGCACACAGCCGCGGCCACAGTGGAATGCCATCACTGGTGTCTATTTGTACCGTGAGAACCAGGGCCTCCCACTCTACAGTCGCCTGCACAAGTGGGCCCAAGGTCTGGCAGGCAATGGAACAGCTCCTGACAATGTGGAGATGGCTCTGATTGCCTCCTAAGGAGTTGCTTGCTACCTTCTTTTCAAAAGACACTACTTTGTTCCCAACAGAACCCAGCTGCCTGCTCACATCAGCATCGAAAGAGGATCTTTCTTTTTTTAACCACAGGTTCTTGGGCACAAGCCAGGGGAACATAAAGTGGCCTGGGGTGTACAACATGGTCAGCTGACAGAACTCCCAGACCTGAAGAATCCCTTCTGTCCTGTGGCCACCAGCTACAACTTTGGGGAAAAGACTTCCAGGACTAATCCTAAATTAACTATGACGTGGATGATCTTCGGTGGGAATCTAAACTGAGACATCTTGGCTAACAGAGCTAAGTGACAGTGAAACTCACCAGTGGGCTCTTTGTATAGTACATTGCGCAGTTAATTTGTGTCTAATTGCATAGGGATATTCACCACTGGGATAACTGCCCTGCATTGCATACCTCTAGCTTATTTTATATATTTAAACTTTTGATAAAACTTTTCTTACTAAAAAGGACTAGCAAGGTGTCCATTTGATTGAAAGGGCATGGTGGTCATGCAGACCAGCTCAAATCCTATGTCCTGTGGAAGGTAAGGGAACAGGATTAAAATGGGCCACAGTGATGGCAGCAGCGGAGTACCAGATGTTTTGCACAGGGGAAGGCCAAAGGCTTGAGATCTCTGGGCAACTGGATCCAGTTGTCTGATATGACCTGGTCAGAGGGAGACTGGCCTTTCTAAGAGGAAAGCTTGGCTGAAAGTTTCAAAGTCAGAAGATCCTGCCCTTGGCAGGACAGAACCAGTCCTTGGAGCCCAGTGCTAACCTGTAAAACCTAGCCAGTTGTGGCTTCTCCCCACAGCCCCACCCCAGATACCTCCACCACCTCTAAAATTTTTGATGCTCAGTCTTGTCCCTGTCCTGCTTCCTGGCATACAACTCATTTCCCATGGAAAAACTCTCAGGATATTTAAGGCTCCGCCAGAGAAAACCTAATTCCCCCAGGATCTAGCTAAAAAAGAACTGGCTTCCACACCTAGTGGGGTCTGTGCTGACCTCCCAGAACAATGGGATACATCAGGCTTAGTGAGGTGAGGTTGCCCAGTGGTGGACCTGGGATGAGACATCATCAGGCAGTTTAAGCCAACACTTGTGGCTTTCCTTAGTAGTCAGGTTTTCTAATTTTTCCTTCTGGGCTCTGCCTTTGTCTTCCTCTTCCAGGTTTGCAGACTCTACAAAAGGGCAGAAAGTACTAGTCAAGGCAATGCCCAAACTCCAAGTCATGGGGGAGGGCCTGCTCTCCAAGCCCTTCCAATGCCCTGGTTGAACAGACAGCCTGCCAGGAACAAAGTGGATCCACAGGGAACGCCCCTGAAGGAGGAATACTTGGTTTTTCTAGAGCCCAAGAGCCTACTGCCTGAAACCTCAGAAAAGGAAAGAGGAACCAGGTGCCGGTGGCTCACACCTGTAATCCTAACTTCTTAGAAGACTGAGATCAGGAGGCTCGCAGTTCCAAGCCAGTCCTGACAAAAAACATTTGAGACCCCCCCCATCTCAATGGAAAAAAGTCAGGCACAGTGGCACTTACTGTCATCCCAGCTATGGCAGGAAACTTAAATAGGAAGATCACAGTCCATTTCAGCCTGGGCAAAGAGAGAGAACCTATCTCTAAAATAATCATAGCAAAAAGGGTTGGAGGCATGGCTCAGATGGTACAGTGCCTGCCCAGCAATCATGAAGTCCTGAGTTCAAACCCAGTATCATCCAAAAAAAAAAAGGAAATAGGAATTAAATCTCAAGGGCTGGGGGACAGAGTTCAGTGGCAGAACACTTGGTCAGCATGTAAGGCCCTGGGTTCAATCTCCAACACTGTAAAAATAATAATAATTTTTTTTAATTTTTAAAAGGAGGAAAAAAAAACCAAACAACCTCAAATTCCTTTTCATCTTGACAGGATTACCCCAAAGGTGCTGCAGAAAAAGCAGCGCATAAATAGTGTCCCCACACGAGTTTTCCAGGAGCCCTGGAACTTCAAGGGGGCTGAGTTGGCCATTTCAGGTGGAGCCAGTGGCCACTAGTCCTCCAGCACTGAGCTCTTGGCCTCCACATATTCCAGGGCCTTCGTCTTGACTGCTTGCACGTCCTTCTCAGTGCCGTGTTGCTTCTCAAAGTCCAGGTAGCGCTTAAAAAAGAACTTCATTCTCTTGGGGGCCAAGCTCAGATGAATGACCCGCTCAAAGATGTCCCTAGAAGGAAGAACAGGACAGCGATTGCTTCATGGTCCAAGCCATGACTCCTGGATGGTACTCAGTCAGTTGATTTTAGATCCCCTATCATCTAGCACCCCCCTTTATTTTACTATCAATATGACCTCCTGTGATGCCCTGGGGAAAAAGACACCGCCTCATTTTCCAAATGAGCAGACATTCAAAAAATGTCAAATGTCTGACTTGCCTCAAGTTTCACAGTGATTGAGGACAAGGCTACTGGGATGGGGAAACACAATGAGGTATGGTTCTTTGACAGAAGCAAAGTTAAAATCCACAGAAGGGCATGGATGAGGTGCTTGTTCTTTCTGGAGCGTACTCACCTCCAGCCCTCCCTGCCCTGTGGGGATAGTGGCGGGGCAAAAGTGTGATCCTGCCCTGTGAAGGTTCCACCCGGTGAGTCAGGCACAGATGTGAATCGTGAGGGCATCCCAAGTGTCCTGACACTCAGGGCAGGGACCAGGCCACCTCCCACCAATAGTTCACATACAGATCAGAAGCTGGCCTTTGGGGCTGGAAAAGTGAATGAAAGTGGATGTGGAGAGTAATGTGAAAGCTATTTTTCTAGCTTGAGTAACAGAACTAGGAGCTGCTGTGCATCTAAAAATCATCAGTGTGGCCAACAACCCTCTACCCCCGCTGCCCACCAGGAGATCTGGTCTGTCTTCCCCTCTCACCGGACTTCCTTCTGGCTCCCATGCTTGATGAGCATGTCAATGTAGACTGACCAGACATCTGTGCGCTTTGGATAGGTACTCAGTATGCTTTCAAAAATGGCTTTGCCTCGCTCTGCATCCCCCAGCTGGAACTCCAGCTGGGCAAACTTGGAAATCACATCCACATCTGCAGGGAGAGGACAGCTCAGAGACCTGGTAAGCTGACAGACTCCTTACCACAGCACCATGTGCTACAGGAACAGTCTGAGTCTGACTCTCTGCTCTGAGCCAAGACCTAGGTTATCACAAGAGGGATAAATCCCCAAAAGGACAGTGGGGTAGTTTTAGGGCCAAATACACAATGGGTTCTACAGACACCTACTCTCTAGGTCTGGAAGAAGTGTGTGTTTTTCCTTCCTCTATCTTTTGGAGTTTAGCATTTGAAAAGCAGCAGACACCATTGTGTTCATGAACATAAAATCAACAGAAACACAACTCTGTACCCCCCACAAGGCTTTCCTAACTCAAGCTTGACCACCCTGGATGAGAAGACACCAGTCTCTATTCTCAGATATCTGAGAGCCTAGTGAATTGAAAGGAGCACTTACGCTCCTTGGTAGGTAGGCACTCAAGGGCTCGCTGTAACACACGGTGACTGGCCCCAGCTTGACTCCCCCGCAGAACAAAGGCACCATATTTGACCCAGATAGCTTTCTCCTGATGGAAACGCTTCAGCATCCGGTTGTACAGCTCACCAGCTTCCTGTGGGAAACACAAGGTAAATTGAGGAGAGTGTGGTACACAATCTATGATGCTCATGAGAAACTAGATTGGCCTCACTGGAGCCAAGTCCTGTCTAGGCCTAATTTTAGAGGCCTAAGGAGAGGAGAGAGAGGAGAAGCTCATTAAGAGGAAAGCATGAGGCAGTTTCCTTACTAATACTGCCTAATAAGGAGATCCTGGACTAGAAGACAGAATGTGAGAATGTCAAGGGGAAACTGGAGAGAGGAAAAGGCATACTAGGCTGTTATGTCACCTTTTATCATGTGGCCTAAGGGACATGATAAAATGAAGAGACCACTGTCCCTCCAACTTCTGAAGCCATCGCTTTCACTACCTACACTTCACTTGCCCAAAGTAGAAGTGGGAAGAAATGACTTCTCACTGGAGGATAAGGAAGTCAGGGCCCAGAAGTAAGGTAGTGAGCTTGGGGTAGGATGGCACACAGAACACAGGGGTTTTTCCGACTCTTGGCCCCAGGACTCCCAAAAGGGCCTTTTCAAGAGACTGAGGTCTCTGGGCAGCTGGCCACTGTACCCAGCCTCCTACCTTCAACTTCCCAGACTTGGTATAGATGTCAGCCAGATGGAGAAAGACCTTGAGAGGCTCGTTGTACTGCACAGCCCGCTCAAAGACCTTGGACAGGGACTCCTGAGAGCCATACATGTTTTCCAGGTTCAGAAATGCCACCCACACGTTCAGTTTCTCCTGCTCCTCTCTGTAGGCAGAGTGAGCACACATGAGCTCCTTCAACTCAACGAGCCCCCCACTCCCATCCGGGTTGTCCATGAGCTACTTTCTCCCAGACAATACCCATGTTCTTAGGTCCTACCCTTCAAGTGTGGGCAGAGACCCTGTCCCCTAGCCCTGACTGCCATATCTGAGGCTCCCCTAGTTTCTGCCTCCATTCCTGAGAAGGAAGCCTCCAGACCAGGCTGGAAATAGACTCTTAGGTTTGACTCTCTCCCCAAACTAAGGGAATGAAACAAAGGATTGTCCTTCCTCTTCACTAAGCTTCATTCAGAAAATTTTACTTGGCCTAGAAAATGGACAGCCATAGGGATTTTACCCAGATAAGTGCTGAGCTATCTTCCCTATTCTACTTGTCTAAATTGGGAAACTTATTGAAGTATAGAGACTAATAAATGTCACTGTAGCTATTTCAGTGAAGAAGACCATAAAATACAAAGGAGCAGCTATTTCACAGATGGTCTGGGAACCCATGGGCCACTGGTGAAGCCACCCAAACTGCCATCAGCCTACCCAGGAGGAAATGACCCATTGTGGCCAACTATGCCAGTTAGAACTTGAGGTGATACAGTGCTATCTAAAGGCCCCTCCTGAGAATGAGGGAGCCAAAGCCTAGACCTGAAGGAGATGGTCTTTAAGGCCCTCTCAGCCACAGCCCGGGCCTTTTCGATCTCCGTGGCCTGCAGGTGGAAAGCCATGTACTGCAGCCATAGGATGGAGCTGTTGGGGGAGCTCAGGACCAGCCGGTCAAAGTCATCTGCTGACTCCGGCTGTCGCCCGGGATCCATGAGTGCCTCTTCGATGCGGCACAGCTCTTTCTCCACCTTCTGCTTCTCCAACTCTCTTTCCTTCTTGCTTTTCTTTTTCTGCTATGGAAGACAGAAAAGTAAGCAAATCATCTGCTCCCTAAACCTCAGCGGAGGTCCATGGTAGAAGTCACAAGTTGGCAGGGCAGTCTACAGTCCAAACCCAACCCAGGAAGAGACACCCAAGCTGGGACAAGGTACAGGAGTCTGCTACCAAAAGGTCTCCAAGGACAAAGCCCTGGAAAAACACAGCACCGTGGGTTGGTGTGGCTTCTCATCCTCCTCGCTGTCCGAGCTCTCTCCTCGAGGTGGTAAGGCTGGGGTCAGAGAGTCGAGCCCCACGTCCCAAAGGAAACCTGAAGAGAGCTGCAGCCGGGGCACTTCTGCAGGTTTAGCCTGCTTCCCCTGTAGGGTCACAGAGAAGCTGAGGAAAGCACTTGACTCAGGCTGCTCCCTACTTCCCAGCCCAGCACACAAGAATCCCTCCCTCTTCTCCAAGCCAGGCTAGGACCCAGCCCTCTGAGGAAACTACAGCAGTGACATAGAAGATTTCTTTGTAAATCAATCATGCACATACATACACATATAAAACAACCATGGAGCTAGAGAGATAGGACCAAAATTCTGAGGGTGGTAGGGGTACAAGCACCCAAAGTCTGGGAAGCCCTCCCCAGTGGCTGTACACCCCTTGCAGCCTGTCTTCTCAGCTCAGGAACCATTGCTTCTACTTGTCAGGGAGAATGCAGGCACCTGTCTATCCCTAATTTCATTCAGTTCAACTCAATTAACATGTACTAGGGTTTATTTTATGCAGCCCACTCTATGTATTACCAGGTCCTATCCTCACGAAGCTGAGGACCAGCTGAAGAAACTAATCCCCAACTCCCACCTTCATATTTTACAGGAAATGAGGCAGAAGAGGACAGGGCCCGAAAACAGGGAAGTCCAAGGGTCTCCCTCCCCAGCAGCCTTTCCTTGGGTAGCCCTTACCTTGGGCAGCACATTTGGCTCCTCTATCTCCTCTTCTCCCTCCCGATAATAAACTTCCACACTACTGTCATCCTCCTCCAACGCACCAGCCTTCTTTGGCTTCTTGTTCACTCTTTCCTGTAATGGTGGTAAGAAGAAGCCCAGAAGCCTTCTCTGGCACCCAACTCAATGCCATCCCTCTGTTCCCCTGCACCACCCCTTCCATCTTCCATGCTGCTCTCACTCCAAGAGAAGCTGAGCAGCTGTGGCCAGCTTCTCAAACCCTCCTTTTCTCAGTGAGGTGAGGCAAGATGAGGCTTGATCCTCCCTGAGTGACTGACCTGCTCACTCTCAGACTCCTGGCGTTCCCGCTTGCCCTGCTTCCCCTGTGGTCTCTGGGGCTCTTTCTTCTCCTGGCTGTGTAGCTTCACTTCTACCTGCCCCTTCAGGCTCTTCTTCTTTTTTTTCCTTTTCTGACTCTTCTTCTTCTCCTTCTCTTCTTTTTGGTCCCTCTCCTTGGCCTCTCCTCTTCTCTCCTCTTGCTTCAGAAGTGGCAGATCCAGGGAGGTAGAAAACACATCTGGCTTCCCAGTATCACTGGGGAGGAGCGACAGCTCTATCAGATTCTTCTGGTAGTTCAGGCTGTAGCGGGGAAAGGAGGGCAGAAAGTGAGAAGAGAAAAAAGCACTCAGGATACTGTAAGCAGCACAAGCCTGCTCTCTTGTCACAGGCCTGGTCTGGGCCCTGTCCCACATGCCTCAGGACCCACTCTATTCACAGGAAGAACTTGTACTTGACCTGCTTAGGAGAAAAATTCAGGAGGCAGTTGTGATGCCCCTGCTCCATCCAGCAACACTCAGCAAATATGTACAGGAGCTGAGGTCAAAGATTCCAAACAAGGCTTTTGACTCATCTGAACATAGCATATACCATTACCCAGGCCATTACATTCAAAATGTATCTCAAAATCTCCTCCTAGGGCTCCTAGAAAAAGGGTTTTCTGATTCATATCACAGGTGAGGGACAGAGAGAAGGCAGGTGAGAGAAGGCACCTACCTTAGGACCTTGGCAGTAAGCAGCTTCCCTTCAGGGAGGTATTTGCTATCAAGGTCATTCTTGGGCCAGCTACACTGGGACACATATGAGTACTGGGCCAAACCCACAACTGATGGGCCAAGCCTGAAAGGAGACAGAGAAGAGTCTTGTGGTCACAGATACAACAAGAGTCTCAGCCATGTCTAGTGACTCCTTTCACAGGGACCCAAGTTGTGACAGGATTTATGGCAGACATAATTTCCTGGCATTCAGCAGGATAAAGTGGGCTTTGTAAACTGGAATAAATTACCAAGCATAATGAAACGTGACTTGCATGTTTGTTTGCAGTGCTGGGGATGGAACGCAGGGCCTCAGGCATGCTAGAAAAGTGTTCTACCACTGAGCTACAATCTCAGCCAAGGATATTTTTTACCCCACGTCATAGCATCATAATGCCTAAATCAGAGCTGGGTGCTTCTGGCTCACGCCTGTAATCCTAGCTATCCAGGAGGATTGCAGTTCAAAGCCACCCCAGGCAAATAGTTCACGAGACCTCATCTCAAACATACCCAACACAAAAAAAAGGCTGGCAGGATAGCTCAAGTTATAGAAACTGGGTATGCCATATTCATTGTCCAAAACACCAGACAAGAAATAATTCAAAATGTTTTAAGAAAGGATTTAAAAAGTTGGAATTTTAAAAACTGGTAAGAACTCAAGCTCTCCTTTACATTTCCATCAAAGTCGACTGAGAGGTAGCAAACCCAAGGAAGGTACTTGGGTCTAGGTCCAGGACCCAAGGCCCCACATCACTTACCCCAAGAGCACACCGTTTGACTGGACAGACTTCACGTAGCCCCTAAGGACCTGCCCTTCCTTAATGTCCTGGATGGAGTTAATCTCTGGATCTTCTATTTTGCTTTTTGTCTCTGGGTTTGTCCTTAAAAAGTAAAACGCTTACATACGTATACTTGTAACCTCATTCCTGACCTCCTCCAACATGCCTGAAATAACTGTACTATGCATGTAAGAATATGCCACTGCCCTGTCAGGAGGATGCAGCTTCCAGAGCCTGGCCTCTCTTGAAGTCTTGCCAGGCCTGGGCTGTGTGTCTAAGAGCCAGCTACACAGAAATAGGAAGAAGACGACCAAGCCAGTGACAGGCCAAACCCAAAGCCTGGCCTTATTAACCAAAGAGAGCGAGTGGACCACAGGCTAATCCCTTTCGTGTCACCCTCCCCACTCTCTACCATGGAACTATGGGAGCTAAATCTTCTCCTCTCACCAGTACCACTATCTTACAGCCTTAGACACCCACATTTAGATATGTGAACTTCTCCCTGGGAGACAAGGGCCTGATTAGACAGGTTTTAACAGCAATCTGAACATCCTCAGCTTTCTCAGATAAGAGGTTCAGGATATAAAGTGGATGAACAGACAAGAAAGGTGGGAAGCTAAGGGTTCTGTGGCAGATATATGAACCCTTTCCTTGGTCCTGAATGAATCCTTCTCCCTTCTCATCCCAGAACCACCATCACCCACCTGGATGATCGCAGTGACAAAGTCAATTCATGGTCCTCACTGGATAGGACATAACACCTGGAATGTGAGCAAAAGAGAAGGAAACACTCAATTGTCAGCATCTCTGGAGACAGCAAAGGGCCTGAGCTCCTGCTCCACAAGATTGCCTAACAGGCAAGAACAAGGAGACATGAGACCTGGGTTCTGTTTCTTCATTCTGTTAAAAAACCTGGTAAGGGACTCTGGACAAGTCATGTCACTTCTTTGAATCACAGTTTACTAGTCTGTCAAGTAAAAAGACGTACTCTTCTAACCCAAGAGTTATGTTGGGAGAACAATCTTAGAGGAGACATGAAAACAAAGGAACCACTACAGTCCACTGCGTTGCTGAACTAGGATGTTGGGGAAGTCAATGCATTTTCAACTTGTGATATTTTCAGCATACAATGGGTTTACTGAGACAAAGCCTATCACAAGCTGAGGGGCATCTGTATTTAAGAGGAGACCAGCTCCACATTTGGTCTTGAGAGTATCTAACCACTATAGAGAGACAGATTAACCACAGAAAACCACAACCAAGAATGACCTATTGAAGACATAGAACAACATTTAGAAAGGTGAATCAGCAGGCCTAAGCAGGGGAGGCTTTGAAGAGGGAAAGCAGGATTGACTCTTTCACTGGGTTTCCAAACTATTTCACCTCAAATTGCAACTCATATGCCCTAAATCATAATTTAAAAGTACAGGATCTTAGAGGTGGAAAGGATCTCAGCAATAATATATAGTGCAACTTTTTCCCACAACAGATGTTTGCCTTTCCAACAGGCATCAGAGCCCTTAGGCTAGAAAGGACAAAGGGAATGGCAAGTGGATTTTCTTTCTTTTTTTGGGGGGCAATAGTACTGGGAGGTTGAACTAAGGGACTTGTGCTTGTTAGGTAGGCACTCTATGTCACTAGGCAAATAACTTATTACTCACATCTGACATGATGCAAATTATAATTTAATGCTACTCACAGGTTTAGCTGTCATAAAAAATATTTAAAATAAATACGCTGCTAAACTCCACACCATAATTTTTGTAAGCCTCAGTCTCAAAAGACAAAGCAGATGATCCTGGATGCCTGCAGGACTCATTCTTTTTCTTCTTCAGGCTCTAGGTATTTTTATGCTATTTGGCTCTGGTAAGTAGTTCACAATTTAGGCAGATGCCACTGGCTGGGCCACCTGAGACGGAAGAGGGCAATGACTATTTTCCAATCTTTACCTTCTGAACATATATTTTACTACCAGCCAATTTTATTGTATCAAGCTGAAATCTGCCTCTTTAAGGCCAGTTTATGTAGGCCATAAAATGAGATTAAACTTTCACTGAGAGAGGTGCATTTGGGGGCATCTGAAATAGTTCATAAATAAAATCCCAACCCCAATCTCAAAAAGTTATACCTTTACAGGAAACACCTAGAGATATTTTTTTAAATTAAAACTATGAATTTTTCAAATAAAAATGAGCAGGTAATGTGGATAAGCAAAGCACAGAAAAAATACAAAGAACCAATAGAGAAATGGCCACCAACATAAGAAGTGTAAATTGAAGTGAGAGATCATTTTTGCCTATACAATGACTAAGATAAAGATTAATATCCAGCGAAGGTAGGGATATGACAAAGGCACATACTGTATGCTGCTAGTGGGGATATAAATCAGCACAGTTGTTTTGGGGGACAATTTGGCAAAATTTATAACATCATTTGACCCATTAATTCTATTTCTAGGAACTTATTTCGAAGATATACTTTTACTGTTATCCAAACATGTACAAAGATATTCATTTCAACATTACTGTCCACAGAGAACTGGCTAAATAAATCTTGATTAAAAGACAAATAATGAAATATTAAATGTTAGAAATATGGCTACTCGGGAGACGGAGATGGGAAGGATTGTGGTTCATGGCCAGACTGGGCAAAAAGTTAGTGAGATCCCATCTCAACAATAAGTTGTACATGGTGGCCCACCCCCACAATTCCAGCTGTGCAAGAGGCATAAGTAGCAGGATCTCAGTATAAGGCTGGTCCAAAGCAAAAAGTGAGGCCCTATCTGAAAAAATAACTAATGCAAAAGGGACCAGAGGCATGGCTCAAGTACAGTACTTGCCTAGCAAGCACAGGACCTTGATGAGTTCAAACCCCAGGAACACCACCACTACCAAAAAAAAAATAAAATAAAAAATTAAGGTAAAAGAGCAAGGTAGAGTTAGATATATTAGCATGGGAAAGGAGATTATTTATAATCAATTGCTTTGAGGGAAAAAAAAGCAAGCTGTGAAACAATATAATGAAATTCTAAGGGCTGGGGATGTAGCTCAGTGGTAGAGTGCTTGTCTAGCATGTGCAAGGCCCTTGATTCAATCCCAAGCACCAAAAATCAGTAAGTGAAATTCTATTATTATATAAAGTCAAATTATATCCATGTGTGTTAAGGCCTGAAAAGATTAGAACCCCAAGTGAATAAGGGTAACAAACAGTGGAGAAAGAGCGGAGTGACAGAGAAGTGTATTTTCTATTTCATACCCAGTAAAAAAAAAAAAATCATGTATTACTTTTGCAATTAAAAAAGATACCTACCAATTCCACAGATAGGTAAAGGAGGAAGAAATCGTGGCTTACCTGACAATCTTCTCGGGGACAAAGTCTTCTAGGGGTGCCTCAGAGTAGGAGTCACTCAGGTGAAATATACTGACTCTCCCCATTTTCCCAAAGGGGAAGGCGACAGTCAGCCCCTTGTAAGGAATCACCTTCACCACTCGGCCCATGGCCAGCTCCCCTTTCTCAAGCTTATGAGGACCTGGTGGGAAAAAATGAACCTGGCTCAGGGAGAAAGAAATGACAGACAGCTAGAACATAGACCCACCAAGGGCTGGGGGAGGTGGAGGCCACCCAGACTTGCATGTCCAGGCCGAGTATACCATGAAGACCCCACTTACCACACCCTATATCCCCAGGGACAACCTTTCTGAAGGACTTGGGAAAACCAACTGTAGGCACAGGTGACTCAAGAGAGTGGCAGCCCCAAGAGGAAAACTGTTCCTAGAACACCAGCACCCAGCTATGTCAGGATTCCAACACTGAAGGTGTACTTCAACTTGGGCAGGAACTGAAGACCCCTTCCTTTTTGGGGGTGGGGGAGTGGGGAGGGTGAGTAATGCAGACTTGAACTCAGGGCCTACACCTTGACCTACTCCACCGGCCCTTTTTTTTGTGATTTTTTTTGAGATAGGGTCTTGCAAACTATTTGCCCAGGCTGGCTTCAAATTGCGATCCTCCTGATCTCTGCCTCCTGAGTAGCTAGAATTACAGGCGTAAGCCAGTGACACCTGGCTTTTCACCACCCTTTCTTCCCCCTCCCAACTTTCCCTTCCCAGACCAGATACCACTTCACCCCCATACCTATGAGTGAGAGACACAAGAAGGCCTTGGAGGAATCGGGGCCAACCACAGTAGCCTTCAAGGCCTGGCCAATCTGAAACTTCTTATCTGGATGTTTTAGAACCTAGGAGGATTTAAAAAAAAAAAAAAATTCCTGATGCTTCCACAAAGGTCTGTCATTTATCCAAAACCATAATATTAAGTCTCTATAGTTAGTACCTCCCAAATCAATGCCTAAATAAGCACAGGGCTACTTCATACCAACTGGGAACACAACAGTCAGAGTTGAGCTTAAGGAGAACTGGGTCTCCTCTCCAGGGATCTCATGTACACTGACCTTGAAACTAAGAGAAGTGAGCAACATGGGAATTCTCCCTCGGATGTCCGGTGCAATCTCCACCTCAAGCCATTTCTTAACGACATTGTACTGGGGGAAAAAACAGGAGTAGGGTTGAATTGTGAATTGCTCACTATTTTGAAATTCATAATTTATCTCCCCAATGAGGCAAGTTTTTTAGGAGCTAAGGCCATGTGTCATTGCATACCAGCCCAGCATGGTAGCAAGCATAGAATCAAATATCTAGTACCAATGACCTTTGTCTCCAGCTTCACCCTCTTTTCTTCTGAAAGAAGGACTTTAAATTGCAGGTTGACAATTACGCACCCTCTTTAAGAAGCAAGTCACAGTCTGACCAGTCCGGTACTGCTTAATCTTCTCCACAGGGCTTATAGAGTAAGTGTCAAGAGCAGTGTGGCCATTTTTTTCCAGTTCCCTGTAAGCAGAAAGGTGATGGGAAAAATAACTCAATCTCTGTATTTTTTATTTTATTTTATTTTGTTTTTTGATGGCACTGGGGTTTGAACTCAGGGCCTCATGCTTGCTAGGCAGGCGCTCTACCACTTATCCATCTCTGGATAAGGCTTCTGACTTGAAACCATCTCCCTCAAGTGGCGATGGATCATCTGTATAGGGCTGCTCTACTCTACCCACTCTCCACAGCCGATCTCTCTTCATTAAGGGGAATCTTCACAATACTGACCCAGGCCAATATTTTCCTTGTCATTCACCTATGTACAAACTAGCTGTGAAGCTTATGACAATCTTTACAAACTTAGGAAATAAGACTTTTTTATTTCTTTCATAATACCTTAGCTATTGCTTTTAAGTTTGCCGAACTGCCTTCACAAATAATCTCTCATTAAACTTTACAACAATCTCCTGTGTGAATTAAGCAAGACAGATTTTAAACCCATTGTATGCTATTGAACAAGAGTTGAAGTCAAGGATTGACACAAAAAACAGGGTGCTAACCCTCTGTTATGCTGCCATTGTCATCTTGACTCTTTGTCTTTTCAGAAAAGCAACAAGAAAAAAAGCTGCAATCCACAAATCACTTCCCCCAAAATGACAGAACTGCTAGCCCAATTTAAATAATTTCTAAAGTTATTTTAAATAATTGAAATAATTTCTGAAGCCAAACAAAACTACAATCATTAATAAAATGATACAAGTAATGATGATAACAATATAAAAAGACAACACCAAGTGCTGGTGGATGTAGAAAATGGGAACCTTCCTATACTGTAAAGGTTGCAAATGCATATATTCTATGACCCAGTAATTCCAAATGAGAATGCAGAACAAGTTCAAGGCTATTCACTGTGGTATTGCCGATAATCATTTTTCTACATTTTATAGAAAAACTGGAAGCAACTCCAAATGTAATCCAAAAGTTTGAGGAACATGTACAGTTTGGCACATTCATAGTATGGATTACTATTACTGAAGTTAACACAAAAATGGGTAGATCTCAAAACCATAATATGGAATGAAAAAAGCAAGCTACTAAATACTAAGTACTACATACAATTTACATAAACTGATATAAAAATCAATTAAATGTCTTTCACCCTGACTTCCAAATCTACTTTTAAAATGTAAGCATCAGAGAAATAACACTACTAGAGAAATGCCACTGTTTTATTTCTCAGAGTCCTTGAGATGGAAATAAAGTAACAGTAAGACATAAGTACATGAAGAAGGTGGACGACGTCCTGGGGTTTGTTTATCCATCTGTCTGTTATTTTACCTCTGTATCACCCACTTCCTCAATAAATCCACTTATTTCCTGGCTTAGTCCCCTCTGCTACAGCTAGGTAGTAAGTACCACTCTGGCTGATACTAGTCTTCCAGGACAGGGGGTGGACTAATGACAATCATGTTGCTGAAAGGTTCTAGCACTCTGTAGACTGTAGAAGGTGTTCTATAGAGCTCAATGACTCATCCCTGACAACATTCATTAGTTTAAGATCTCTACCTTTAGCTGGGCACCAGTGGCTCATGCCTATAATCCCAGCTACGTGGGAGGCTGAGATTGGGAGCATCTCAGTTTGAGGCCAGCCTGGACAAACAGTTTGAGAGACCTCATCTCCAAAATAACCAGAACAAGGTGAGCTGGTGGCATGACTTAAGCAGTAGAGAGACTGCAACTGCAAAAGCCCTAAGTTTAAACCTCAGCACCACCAAAAAAAAAAAAAAAAAAAAGTATCTACCTTTAGTTCAAATAAACTACTTGACCTCAAACTTAATTATGGGTCTAATTAAAACATGACATCACAGCTTAAGGTGATGATATTGCAGACTAAAACTGCAAACATAATGAAGTCTTCTTTTTCACAACAAAGACTGGAGGGGATACAAACAAAATCTACAGACTAAAGAAACCACAGAGTAAACAGACAGAAAAGTATCTCACCACCAAGTCTTATTATTATAAAACTAAAGGGCTGATTTTGAAATTCTAAAATTATGGGTCAGCATCTAAAGTTCAATGTCCCAGGAATATTTCCCTATCTCAGATACAAGCCTTCTCAGACATACTATACTTCTACTCTGATTCCTTCAGGATGCTGACCAGATGTTACCCTTGGAAGATACTCTGCAGGTCCTTCTGCAACATCCCTCAGTTTGTAAGACTTACAAACTGGATAGATTCCTGGCTGAACCTGAAAAACCTTTCTTACAGTAATGTGCATCTAGTTCCATTCATCAATGGCCTAACAATTCCAAGAGGTTGGGTTCTTCTGTAGAGGAAGCAGGAGCAGACAGGCCACTGGATATTCTGAAAAAAAGAATCCCTGACAAACAGGATCACCCATTACATGGAACTATTAGTTTCTGTCTCCCTAGAATCTCTCTGCAGAATCCACCAGAACATGACTTTAAAGCTCAGATTTTGGTCACCAAGCAGTAAAGTAATAGAAACAAAAGAATAGGTTACTCTTGGCTACATGTTTATATGGGGAATTACTGAATTCTAGAAAACTGAGTTTAGAGTACAAATGTTTCTTTTTAATCAGATGCTGACAAATAGAACTGCAATCAGCCTTTAAACTGATACTTTAAACTCTGTACATAGCTTCTACATTAATTTTCATACAATTCCTCTAATTAGCCCTAGGAGGGTCCAAAAAAAAAAAAAAAGTAACCAAGGCTGGGGATGCAGATCTGTGGTATAGCACAAAGCCCCAGGTTCAATCCCCATACAGCAGAAAATAAAAACAGAATATGAAGCCAAGAATACATATTCTTTCAGTGTGGACTACTGCTTGGTGATGACAAACTGAGTTGAAATAGTAGGTCATGTTCTGGTGGATATGCAGAAAGCGTTATTCTTGAAAGGTTCTTGGGGGAGGCAGGCAAGGGGGAGTTTGCACTCACTATACTCCATGTAGGAGTGGCTTTGGTTTGTCTGTAGTCATTTTTGTTTCCTACTAGAAAAATAAAGTAACTTGGACAGAGGGAGGTAAAAGAAGTCACAACACCAGCAGAATCAAGATGAGAATTCCAAAAGCCCAATTCCAAAGCCATGGTTCTTTCCATAAGCTCATGCTTCTAGGGTCCTCCTCACCTTGGCCGAACACTCAACTCCAAGATGGTTCGAATAAATCTGGGGTGACTAATTGGTAGGAACCTAGAGAATTAAGAAAGTCAAATTAAGAATGTCAAATTGCTTCTCTTATTCTCTGTAATACAGTGATCTATAGATCACGATTTCTCTCCATTCCACCCCACCACTACTGATGGGTAATGTGTCATGCTGAGGGTCCCATTCTCATCCCTCATAGGAAATGATAAGGAGCTAAGGAGCTGGCTTGTCTGACCTATTAAGACTGTTATATCAGACTATGAAAAAAATTTCCTTAGACTATATGCTACAACTCTTTCATTCTAGAAACAAGGACACTGAAGTCTACAGAGGATAAATGACTTATTAAAGATCCCAGTTAGTTCCTGAAATTAATATACAAACTATTGACCACATTTTTTCCCCTTTGTTATAGCAAGGAATTCTACTATCATAACATATGCTGTAACTTGATTTAACATAAATGAATATAATTAAAGTGGGGGATGGATTATGATAATTACTGACAGTGTATGTACTAAGTAAAAGCTATGAGCCAGGCAACGTACGAGGCACATAACATACATGTTCTCTTTTTCCAGTCTTCTCATTGGCCCTTCAAGGCAGGCACTACCATTATTCTCACTTTACAAATTAGGGAAATAAAACTGAGTAAAAGTAACTATCAGCACAGAGCACAGTTAATTTAAAATTCAAACCCACATCTGATTCCAAACCTATCCTTTTAACCACTACACACTACTTTTTTAAAATATCATGCTAAAGGATTCTTTGGTGAATGCCTTTTTTGTTAGCTAAGAGAAAATCCAACTACATGCAACTTTTTAATACCTGCCTACATTCCCTCACCATCCCCTCTGCCCCCATTACAACACTCTCCCTCAAAACGAACCCATCCCCTAAAGCCTCCATACTTCAGTGTCTTCACATCTCGCCCACCAATCACTCGGGCAGTGACTGTCTTCCCAACTTTCAGCTTGGTAGTAGGAGAGGTGCCCACTGGAACATCATCTAGTATGTGGGAGGCATGGATACAGCCAATGATGCCATCTTCCAGAGTCACAACCACATGGGTGGCCTTAATAGACTTGACAGTCCCAGTGACAATGTCCCCAATAGCTAGGGTGTGCTTCTTCTGAGTCCCAGCCAGAGCTGGTTCCTCCTCCTCCTCCTCCTCCTCAACTGTCTCAGAATCCTTCCGAGTCTGTCTCATGGTCCTCTTAGCAGCTGGCCCCTCAACAGCCAAAAGAAGACCAGTCACTCCCGGTTCTGTGGTCTTGAGGGTTAGACAGACACCCTGTCCCACCTGCAACTTCTCAGAGTCAAAACGGAAGGTGTCGTTGAGGTGAGAGGTCAGGGAGAAAGCTACCAGGTGGCCAGTCTCTACTAAGGAGGCCACGGCAAAGGACTCCTCCAGGTGCTGCACAATTGCCTGATGCTGGCTGCCTTTTTTCAGCTGGAAAAGAGAGGAAAACAACCACCTCTGCTTTACAAAATGGTCACTTGCACAGAGTAGAACTAGAGAAAGCCCTGATGCCTTATGTCCAGCGGACTGAGTTATAACCAATTAGCTGGGATTTTTTTTTGGTTTTTTGAGACAGAGGCTCTCTGTATAGCTCAGGCTGAATTCAAATTCCCATCTTCTGCTTTAGCCTTCTGGGTGCTGGTATTACAGTCGTGTACCACAATGCTTGGCTTTTTTTTTTTTTGCAGCACTGGGGTTTGAACTCAGGCCCCTGCTGGATTTTGTTTGGAATTCAGATTCCTAGGCCCCATCCTATAACTGGTAAATCTGAATTCTACAATTTAGGTGATTCTGATGCATAGTCAGGCGACCTCTAGTGGCCTTAAGATACTAAGTCCTGACCCTCAGTCTGAAGCACTCCTCCCAATGCATTTGCTCCTTCAATCTTCAGTAAGCAGTCTTTATTGAGTGCTGTGTATAAGGCACCTGGCCCAACTTTCCTCAAAACCCAAGTAGTGCTTATGTGCTTCTATGTCCAAGCTTCACCTAGATGATAAAATGCTCAAGTGCCCTGCTAGAAAACTGAGGGAGAGTTCAGGTTAAACAGGAATTCTTTGTCTCTCCTAAAGTTTTAAAATTGTAGCTGGAGGCGTGGCTCAAGAATCAGAGCAAGCAACTCATGGTTAAGGATTATATCTAGATAATTCTCTGTATTATACTCTACAAAATCAGGTGCTTAAGATGATGATCAAATACAGGTCAAAAATCCCTAATCTGAAAATTTTAAACCTAAAATGTGCCAAAATCCAAGCTTTTGGGAATCATGTTGATGCTTTAAAAAGATTTTCAGATTAGGGATGCCCAAACCAGTGAAGTCAAAAAGTTTCAGATCCTGGATTTTCAGATTAGGGATGCCCCAAAACAGTGAAGTCAAAAAGTTTCAGATCCTGGATTTTCAGGTTAGGGATGCCCCAACCAGTGAAGTCAAAAAGTTTCAGATTTTTGATTTTCAGATTAGGGATACTCAACCAGTTAAATCTATACAAATATTCCAAAATTTGAAAATTCTGAAATCTGAAACATTTCTGGCCCCAAGAATTTGAATAAGCAATACTCAACCTATATATATTCTCTGCCAGAGAAAATTACTAATTTTGAGATTTCCCTCAAACCTTTTTATTTTTTGAGGTACTGGGGCTTGAACTCAGGGCCTTCAACCTGAGTCACTCCACCAGCCCTATTTTTGTGAAGGGTTTTTCAAGATAAGGTCTTGCAGAACTATTTGCCTGGACTGGCTATGAACTTCGATCCTCCTGATCTCTGCTTTCTAAGTAGCTAGGATAACAGGTGTGAGTCACCAGCACCTGGCTCAAACCAATTCTCTTATCACACAAGTGTACAAGAGGCATGGTAGGAGAGTGTGTGAATGTCAGAACTAAGTACACACACCTGTTTTGTTTGGTTTAAATAACGGAAGTTTTTTTGTTGTTTTAATTAGTTTCCAACATTTACACTATTGCCATAAGTGTGTGTGTGGGGGGGGTACTGGGGTGGAACTGAGAGCTAGGTAGGTAGATAGGCACACTACTACCTGAGCCACATTCCCAGCCCAACATTTTTTTTTTCATTTTTCTTTTATTATTCATATGTGCATACAAGGCTTGGTTCATTTCTCCCCCCTGCCCCCACCCCCTCCCTTACCACCCACTCCACCCCTCCCGCTCCCCCCCCTCAATACCCAGCAGAAACTATTTTGCCCTTATCTCTAATTTTGTTGTAGAGAGAGTATAAGCAATAATAGGAAGGAACAAGGGGTTTTGCTGGTTGAGATAAGGATAGCTATACAGGGCGTTGACTCACATTGATTTCCTGTGCGTGGGTGTTACCTTCTAGGTTAATTCTTTTTGATCTAACCTTTTCTCTAGTACCTGTTCCCCTTTTCCTATTGGCCTCAGTTGCTTTAAGGTATCTGCTTTAGTTTCTCTGCATTAAGCCAGCCCAACATTTTTAATATTGAAATAAATAGCCGAATTCTGCCTTCTGAAAATCAAAGATTTAAGACAGATGTGGTGATGCACGAAGATAATCACAGCATTTGGGAGCCAAGGTGAGAGGATCATTGAGTTCAAGGCCCGTCTTGGCTATATAGTAAGACCCTGTCTCAAAAAACCAAAAAGGAAAAAAAAAAAATCTTGGAAACATCAGACCCAAATATTCCCACTTATAACATTTGGATGGAGATAAACAGTATCTGCCCTGTGTAGGCCAAGCATATGTTCACCCATCTGTTGGGGTCCTACCTGTAGCCTCCCTAACCTACAGGCACACACACTCATCTTTATTACCTGTTTGGACCTAAGGGTAGAATGACCATATGTAATCCATCACCTGAACCAGAGTGAAAAAAAGTCCTACTAACTCTACCAGACAAAGAGAAAAACTGGAAACGTTCTGAACAGATCCAGGTGCACAGTCTTACCTACAGGCGCCTGGGCTAGAACCCCAGACTGAAAGTGTAACACAGAAGGGGTAATCTGAAACCACATGTCCTGAGTAAGCTTACCTTTTTAGTTCTTCTATTCACCAAGTCCCAGGAAAGGGAAACATGCACTTCCAACTTCAACATATCAACATTGAGGATTACAACCTTCTTCTTCTCCCCAGATTCCACCACCTGTCCTGCAGTGCAGAACCATACACAATGTGAGCATCCTTTGGAAAAAGGTGAAGAACAGCACCTCTCCCAGCCTCTTACACTTAGGGAAACCACAGTGATCTACCTCCCACAACTAGAGTTAAGGTGGACCTTAATTTATGCAACCTGATGTGTAAAACCTAGATTTATTCAATCATAACAAAAGATTCATACCTAAACCTTTAGCATGCTGTCATTTGTCTTTATTTGCATTCACACATGCTAGGCATACCAAAAGCTTCAACACAATCAACTGATCCACCCTATGTATTGGGAAATGCATATCCCTCTGTATCCAGAGGGAACAATGGGCACAGGGTCTCCCCAATAAACCATGATGAGCAAAACAAAACCACTCACCTGCCCGATGGTATCTGCTGGCTCTCAAAACCAGGTCAGGCACTGGGCCCCCACTGAACACCACGGAACCATCCTCCAATACTTCCTGCACCACTAGGTCAAGAACCATCCCTGGAGTCATCTCAGCCAGTGTCTGGATCAGCACAGAGTCTGCCACAGGCCCAAAGGCAGGAGGAATTAGTAAAATGAAGAACACTTTCACTACTCCTTTCCTCTGAGATATGCTGGCACCACAGAGAGTGGCGGAGCACTGAAACCAATGATAAGGTAAAAATTGTTTTTCACAAAAATGTTAATTCTTCCTGGCCATAATTTATGAAATTAGTCAACAAGGATCAGGAACACAGGCTTTCCTTTGGTTTTAAATTTTCATTGCTCCCAAATGCTCTCACAACACTTAGGAGGCCAATGCAGGGAGCTCATGAGTTCAAAGCCAACCTGAGCTACATAGTAGGACCTTCCCTCAAAAAAAACAAAAACAAACAAACAAACAAAAAAAACCAACAACAAAAAAAAAAAACAAAATCAAACCCAAATATCTCTACCTTGTTACAACCAGATGAAGACACTGCACTATGCAGGTCAGGCACACAATAATCCTGCACAACGGTTCAAAGTCTAAGAGGAAAAAGTAATAACCCCTCACAAAATTTAGCAGGTCTGTGTTCCATTTTACCACCCACTACTACCTGCTAAATAAAGAGATGAAAAATGAAGAGGTCAGTAAGTTCACAACAAATGCAAACCCAAGGCCTTTAGAACAAAGGGGAATTTTGCTTCTGGACTGACAGGGGATTTCTAGGCTGCTTATAATGACCTTCATCTAAATCTGGGTGCTAATCAGGGGCGTTCATTTTATAAACATTTACTGAGCTGTCTATTAATGACTTGGGTATTTTATATACACTGTATTTCCATTAAAAAAACGTTTGCCATGGGAACACCAGTGTCTCACACCTGTAATCCTAACTACTCAGGAGGCAGAGATCAGAAGCATCATGGACCGAAGCCAGCCCAGAGAGTATGTGAGACCCTATCTCCACCAAATAGGGCTGATGGAGTGGCTGAAGTTGTAGAGCACCTGCCTAGCAAGTATGAGGTACTGTGTTCAAACCCCAGTACTACAAAAAAAAAAAAGTGTTGCTAAACCAGGAGGACTGCTTGAGCCCAGAGTTCAAGGGTAGCCTGGGTAGCATAGTGAGACTCCACCCTGCCCCTCCATGAAAACTCTCCCCCTCTCTTTTTTTATTTATGGGGAGACCAACAAGTCATCTTAACACCAGGTGTAAGTATAGCTTATGCACTCCACCCCAACTCTCATCTTCTATTCCTGCTCCCACCAAACAGGTGTTGAGGCTCCCACCTCGACTGCTCATGAGGCTCCGCACGCCTTGCAGCTCCTCCAGGCACTGGCTTAGGAGGAGGAGGCTGGTGCTGGCCGGCTCCCCCAAAGCGCAGTCTGACAGCCGCAGCGACAGCAGCATCCTCTGCTTCTCCTCATCCACATTGGTCACCTTTGCAACCACTGTCTGCCCTTCAACAAAGTGGTCACTTGGGGTGGTCACAAACTTGTCACTCATGATCTGAAGAGAAGAGTGCACAGAAATGGGGAATGGAAAGGTAAGGATGTCTCTATTAAGACAACCTATTGAATGAGCCCAGAGATAGGATATGGAGGTAGACAGAAAAGTGACCCAGGCACCACCCCAGCCCTCTCTGAGCACAGCTCTACTCCTCTTCCATGAAAACATAGGAGAGGCAATGGCCACCCAACTCAGTCTTTGAGGACACCCAATTGAGAAAGTCCCTGTCTCTAACACCCAATGGCAACCCTTGGCCACTCTGTACATATTCTGAGGTTTATCGTCATGCTTTCATTTAAAAAATTTTCCTGACAAGGGATACAGTAAGACGTTCCTTGACAAAACATCAGGAAGCCAGACCATGGAAGGGAAGAAATATCTATGAACAGTCTCTGGCAGGAATTAGCTCTGTGGTATTTGCTTGGTGCTGTCTTACACTGACTGTCCAGGTCTCAGTTTATTCAGCATGCACAAGCACAAAAGGGTTCCAACTGTGGGGTGGCTAGGATCTTTTCCCATCTGGAAAAGTTTACAATTCAATGACACAGAGGAGAGAATAATAATCTCAAGGATATTCCAGTGCCTGAATACCTTGAAAACCCCACTAGGCTCCAAAACCTGTATTAGGCTAAGTATAAACACAAGTTGAGTCCTCTTTACACCACAGACTAGTCTTCAAGGCCACTGTCACTCACCTAATACTCCTACATAAAAGAGAACGGGCCCCTTTCTCCAGGAGGCCACCCAGCAACCAGGAGAAATATGACCTGGGATCTTGGTCACACCCTCCACCAGGAGCCTCCATGGCACATACATGTTAAGTAGTGTATCTTGACCTCTTTCAAAGGATTAAAGACTCCTACTCTTTCCCACTCTCACAGGTTCCATGAGCCTGGTGTTTCTCCTCAAAGGCCCTAGTACATGGGACTGAACTTACACCTTTGGGGGCCAGTCCACTAAGACCTGAGGGGAACTGGACGAACACACCGTAGTCCTTGATGCTCTTCACAAAACCAATGAGCAGCATTCCAGGCTGGATTTCTGAGAAGCTCTTGGGATCCTGGCCACCTGCTACTGTGGAGACCAAAGCTGGCTTCCTGCAAAGGAGCTAGTGGCATTTCATCAAAGAAATGTTCCAGAAAGAGCAGTCTAAATGTCCATCTGTCCCATTTCCTTCTTCCACTCTATCCCCTCTGCAACTACATTAAGTTTCTACATGTGCAGACCCACAGAAGCAGCACCATGTAGAACCATGTTCTAAGCACCACCCAAAGGCCCACAGCCTCCCACCTTCCACTGCCCTCAGACACCAGTCAAGGATACAACATGCTTCTCACTCTGGCTCAGACACAAGACTCGGTGAAGGGTGTCACCTGCCTGGAGCCAGTGATATAACAGCGGGCCATTGGCAACATGGTCTGACAGATGAGGTGTGGGGAGGAAAGCAGGGATGTTGTGAGGCAGGACGGCCACCTCCAGCCCATCTTTGGTCTTCTCTAAAACCTTCACATCCACCAACTGCTCAGGGAACAGAAAGACGAAACTAGCACTTGGGTACAGTGTACACACCTGTAATCCTGGTTACTTAGGAGGAAGAGATCAGGAGGATCACAGTCCAGGCTGGCCCAAGCATAAAGTAAGACCCCATATTGAAAATAACCAAAGCAAAAAGAGCTGGTGGCATGGCTCAAGCTTGCACCTGCCTAGCAAGCACAAGGTCCTGAGTTCAACTCCCCACCCCAGTACTACAAAATAAACAAACAAACAACAAAAACTTAGCACTTGTCTTGAACAGAAAGCAACCCCGTCTGAATAAGGCAGAGCTCACAGGCACCAAATCCTAGCTCAAGGGATCACTGATCAGCAGACCCCACCCCACCACCCCACAACCCACTCCACAACTTCATCTGTGGGCTCCTATCATTTCTTGCCAATCCCTCTGCTGGATCCCAGAGGAAAGAGTGAACTGCAGCCTGGACCAACTGACCAGAGAAGGCATCAGCACTCTACTGAAAACTGCACTGTAACACAATTTTCTTTCATAACATTTGCTCTGGCACACAGGTAAGAACAAGTATGAAGTCCTCTCTCAAGAACCTCCCCCAGCCTCAGAATCCTGTGAAGCTCCCTCTCTTTCTCCTCCCTGGGCTGCAGTACCTCATATGTACCTCCCCTTGCTTTGTCAGGGTAAGACAAATAACTTGTCTGGAGAAGTCCAGGTACCTGCCCAGTATTAACGACTTTTCCTTTTTTCTGACCGTTTCCAACACTCTTGTTCTTTGGTTCTGGATCGTTCAACAGCTTGAAGGATAAGAGCATTCTCTCTTTGGATGGTTCACAGTTCAGCACTACAACCTTCACCACCTGGTAAGAAACCACAAGTGCTTGCCTACCTCCTGCAGTAGCAGGCCTTGCAGGCTCTGGAGTGTAGTGCCCTCCACCAGCTCTGCAGGGACCTTGGAAGATCCACCAAGAACTTGTATCAGATCAGAAGGCAGGGAAAAGAAGACATGTACAGAGACTATAAAGAAGCCCCACAAACCAGCCCTCTGAATAAAAGAAAGACATGAGTAACTTTTTTCTGTATACAACTCCAAGTTTTAAAAGATTATTTTTCCAGGACAGACTCAAATTCACAGTGTTACTTGTGGTGACAATTAGCCTCAGAAAAATTTTTTGATGTGACAAATAATGGTTTGTTTAGGTAATGACTGACCTCTTCCAGGTGAGCCTGGGTCTATTTGTTTGCCAGTGAGGGCTTCTCTGTTCTGTCACCCCCTCCTCCACTTAGCTGACTCAGACCCATTATGTTATTGTGCAGAATGTGTATTTGTGCTCTCTTCCTCCTTTTCTTAAGAGGCAGCTTCCTTGCTTACTACTCCTTCAAATCTACATTCTTGGGATCACCATGGGTAGAGAGGCCTGTCCAGGGCAAGGATTACCTGACCAATGTAAAAGACCTTCTCTGGATCAGAGATGTACTGGGCACTGAGTTCATGCTTGGGCACCAGTCCCTGGATGTCATTGTAGAACTTTACAATACAGCCATAGTCCTTGACCCTGATGATGAACCCATGTGTCTGTAGACCAGGCTTGGCATCATCATAGCAGGTAATGGCAGGTAGTTTGGACATGACCAGGGTTTTCTTCAGGGTCATTATCAGCTTTTTGGCTTCAGGGTCACAAAGCAAAACCTAGGAAAAAGACAGCAGCTATCAACAAGTTACCTATCATCAGGAGAGCCACGGAGCTTGTCTCTGCAACCCTCTGAACCCAAAAGCCCTGGGTTACTCCCTCAAGAACCTGTCATCTGTTTTTCCTCTAATAATCTCAGCTGTATCTGCTTCCTGCAGGATGACTACTGAAAGCATATAAATCTGTTGCAAATGCATTTCTTCCCATAAACTGCTGTAAACTACCCTCTCCTGGCCATAGTCAATATCATTATCTTACAGTAGCCCCCAGTCTTGTGTTAAAGTAACTTCTTTACCACCCCAACTCCTGCCTATTGGGCTCTGCAGACCCAATTTATCACCTGAGCAGTGTTATTAGCTATAAACTAAGGCTGAGTGATCCAATTATCTTTCACTCCTCAGAAGGCCCTCTTGAGGGCAGAGAAATTCCTGTTTTTGTACCACTGGGTAGTTGTTGCCTTTGTTGAAATAAAATAAACATAATAAAATCCAGAGCTGGGGTATAACTCAGTGGTAGAGCACATGCTTAACATGTGAAAGGTGCTGGGGTTCACACACACACACACACACACACACTCTCTCTCTCTCTCTCTCAGAAACTTAAACATACTGAATACCTGCATACACCAGGCCCTATACAAGGCACTCTGTGTATTATCAAACTTAACCTTTGCAACCCTGTGAAGCAACTCCACAATGTTCCAAATCCTACCCATTCTTTCTTGTTCAAGTCCTACCTATGTCAGAAATCCCAAAGGAATTACTGTCACATAGAGCTAAATTTGAAAACTGGTTCTGCCATTTATTAGCTGTGTAACTTTGGGCAAGATATCTGACTTTCTTAGGCTTTAATTTCCCCACCTACAAAACAAGAACAATGTAGTTACATGATAGGGTGGTCTTAAGAATTAAGCGGAATGATGCATATCAGGTGACTAGCGTAACAAGTGGCATAAAATACATGGTGCATGGTAGCTCCTTTGATAAATCCATGATTCTGCTGCTCCAGCCCCAACCCCCTTTCTAAACTTTGACTACAGCAGATTGCCTGAACCAAACCACAAGGCAAAAGGTCACACACTATATGGATATTTTAACTCTGTTCCTGTATGGGTACGTTAACTCCCAATTATACTAAACAATTCTCAAGGACAGGGACTTACTTTTCTCTTTCCAATGCCAGGTTCAGACTGAACACTCTGCGATGTTATATGCTCATTTTGCGAAAAAGTGCAGAACTGCCCTCTTCATCTAGCCAAAACCCCAACACAGACACTTTAGGAAGCTCACCCGGCACTTGACCTCATCCCCAATGTGGTACTTCTTCTCTGGATTCTTTATCAGGATGTCAGCAAGGTGCATGGGAGGTACCAGGCCTCTCATTTGCTCACCCACCTTTACCAGTATCCCAAATGGTTTTATAGTCAACACTGTGCCCTAGGAAATCCAAAGAAAAGACACCATGATACTTCAAGAATGGTCTTTCCTCCACCTCTTACTACAGAGCTGTCATACCTCTTTCAAAACCAACCTTCCTGGACCAACTACACCTATTATTACAGACCTCACACGAGAAAGTATTACTCCCCACCCCCACAACATTCTTGGATTTGTTCAGGCTGATTTATGGAAACCTTCATATATTTTTGGTTAAGCACACACTTGTCCCCTCTGCAAGTACAATTCCTAAAAGAGAGGAGTAGCTCCTAACAAACAAACTCTACCTAGGAAGGGAAGCTGCTCAGTTAGAGCTATATAGCAAGAGCTGAGGTAACCAGAACTGACTACTAATATCCCAGGGAGCTCAACTATCACAGAACTAACTTTCAATCCACTCCAATAACCACCACCAAATTTCAAATCCCAGGACTTACAACCTGCTGCCTCTACAGAGTTGGGTGGTGCTAGTAAGACCTCACATTGAAATTAATGCAGACATGTGTTAACAGGATAAATAATAAACTGACAGTCAACCTGTGAACTAAAGAATGCTTAATGGTGGAGGATTATCTAAGTATATACTTCAGTTCTTACCTTTACGACGGCCCCAGTTTTGATATCATGATATCTAAGATATTGAGCTTCAATAACAGATCTAGGACAAAAGGAGAACACAGAATTAAATAAAGTAGGGTAGAGATTACCTAAAATTTAGGACTATCACAATTATGCTAACAAGAAAGGACACCCTCATTCAGAAAGCCCAGAAGAAACTGAAAGCGTACACAGCCAGAAGTGCACCCCCACAGCGTGTTAATGACACTTACGTCCTCAGAGAAAGCAAGGCCAGTTCATCCATTTGACTATAGTCAATAATTCTACACCTGTGAGTATTCCCTGGCTTGAAGGCCTCAGCATTGAAAACTTTCTTAGAATTAGAGAGATGACTGAGCTGCAAAGTACCAAGAAAAACCAGAAACGTTTGAACCAATCTGACTTCAAAACACACTGAAATGATTCAACATATCAGTCACCCACCATAAAAATAGTACTTTGTTAAAATAATTCTCACTCTTTACCATCACAGAATCTCAATAAGGTCAGAAAACAGTTTAGATCACAGGTCAGTAAACTGTACTCATGAGCCAGTGCATAACTTTATAAACAAAAGTTTTACTGGAACACAGCTGTGCCTGTTCATGGTCAGTTATATGCTGTCTGTGGCTCCTTTCATGCTGCAATAAGAGTTGAGTAGTTAGGACAAAGACCACAAGGCCCATAAGCTTAAAATATTTACTATCTGGCTCTTTAAGAAAAACTTTGCCAAGCCCTGGTCTAGATCCTAATTCATTCCTATTCCTACCACTGTCCAGGAATCAAATACAGCAAGTTGGTTCTAAGGCATTCTAAGATTAACAAACAGACATTGTTCTTATCCCTATAGTCTTTCACATTTGGGGATATCTAAAAATAAGAAACTAATTTCAAGAGATGAAGAAAGCACAAAAGGACCCATTTGTCCCCAAAGCCCTTCCAGTGATGAAATCCCTGACCAAACAAAAGAGTCTCCTTACCCGGGCATAGGCCAGAGCCCCATCCTTCAGCCTGAAGGTGGCCCCAGCCTTACTGAAAAACCCCTGGACAGGAACATCATCCAGCACAGCTCCTAGGTGCTGGCAAGAGATCCGGACGAGCGGCCGCCCAGGCTGCAGGAAGACGGGGCGCAGGCTCAGGCGCACAGCTCTTGTCCGAGGATGGATGCAGAGAATGCAGGCCCTCACCTAGACAAAAGAAAGGGCAGAATGAACAGGAGGAGGCACACAGAATACACCTTAGAGCAGACCTTATGAGGGTCAAGACTCTCCATGTGCTAACCAGATATATCAGTACTAAAATCTTCAGTAAATATAAAAATCAGCTGTGTAATGAAGAAGCCTGTGGAAAAGTCAAATAAAATGTCCCAGAGGCACTAAATCTGACTAAATCAACACTTAAAACCAGGAAAAACATTCCAGGAGGGCCCTCAACACCAAAAAGCTAATGGGCACTTGCTTACAACAAAGGCTCATCTCAAACACCCAAGAACCTGATCCACTCACAAGGTTAAAACACACAAAATGCCTTAATTCTGCATACAAATCTGAATACAGAAGAAAAATATTATTACAAAGAGGTTCACCAAAACACTAACAGTATTATCACTAACTGGTAGAAAACTATTTTCTCTTAAATTTTTTTCTCTGTAGCATGCATTACTGTTTAAAAAGTGAAAAGAAATCATTTGAGGACTAAAAAAGTCTGATATATATTGGGACTTTCTTCCCAATATCCATGTTCATTATAGACAATCTGAGTATTTCAGTAAGCTAGTTACATCAACCCAGGATTAATCACCATTAACACCTGATTGCACAGTCTTCCAGTATTTTAACCATGTGTACTCATTATGTTTCTAAAACATAATAACATGTTTAGAGTATGTTTAAATTATAAATGCAATACATTTAATTTCTTTAATCTCTGGTAGTTTCTTATACTCCTTCCAAGATATTTTTGATCTTTCCCTCATCTCTCTACACACCTGTACACATGCAGTCGTAGGACCTGCCCTGAGGCTAGTTGGGACATTCTAGCTGATTGAGACCTAGCTGGAAATAAAGAAAAGATAGGTGCAACATTTCTTACTGCTTGGTTTGAGAAATATGTCCCAACTTTCTTGGGCTCCAGGTGCATGAAGTCAACCAGGCCAGTGAAGACCGTGAGGAAGTTTAGCGTGAGGCCAAACTGAGTCACCTAGAAATAAACAGAACAAGTTATGAGAAACATTCCTCTGCCCAGGCACAGTGGTTTGTTTCTATCATCCTAGCTACTCAGACTTGGAGATCAGGAAGATTGCAGTTCGAGGCCAGCCTGGGCAAAAAGTCCACAAGACCCCATCTCAACCAATAAAAATGAGGGTGTGGTAGCACGTGCCTATCATCCCAACTACATGAAAAGAATAAATAGGAGGATCACAGTCCAGGCCGACCTGGGCACAAATGCAAGACCCTATTTGAAAAATAACTAAAACAGAAAGAGCTGTGGTAGAGTGCCTGCCTGGCAAGCACAAGACCCTGAGTTCAAACCTCAATACAGCCAAAAAAAAAACTTCTCTGTAGGAACTTGGTATATGAGGAGACACTGTCATAGTAAAATTCAATGCCACAGTATCCATGGTAACTGTACTATCTCTCCTACCCCAGCTAACCCTTATCAACCTTTCTTCCTATAAGGTTAAATGGTAGGACTCCAAGTACTGGCTTCCAACCAAAGAGTAGACACCAATCCCCAACACCATTAGGGATTTCTAAATGGGATACAGTAACTTTACACAGCTTTATACAAGCATCCTTGACGAACTGTCAGACTGACAATTTGGTTATTACTAAAATGGTTACCAACTTGGATGCTTGTCCAAACTGAGACAGTAAAACCCAAATGCTTATAAAAGAGAGACTCAGCATTATTAAACTGTTTCACCCTAGAGAGACCCCAAAACCTAAGGTGAAAAGTGCCTTAAAAGAGCAGTAAGGGAGGTAACTGAAATCAGGGAACTAAATCAGATTCTTGTTCCACTCCTCACCTATAGAATCCACCTCCACAGAAAATGGGAATCTTGTTTCTTGGGAAAACTATCAGAATCAAGCTATAGGAACAGTGCAAATGTTAAAACTGTGAGTATAGAAAAATCCTGAGTAACATAAATACGAAGACACCCAGCCCTGTTAGCCAGCCTTGCTCTCAGACAGCCATACTCAAACCATCTTGGGTGGAAATTATTAAATTTTCTAGAGAAATCTAATATGCCAAAGAAGACCCTAAACTGTGACATTTGGAGGTGGTCCAATGAAAATCTGCTAGCTCCTGTTCCTGACAATGAAATCAACCAGGCACAAGTCTCATCTAAGCATACAGACAACCATCAGTTTCATAATACCTCACTTATAATACAGCAGCCAAAACAAAAACTGTTTTAACAGAGAATCAAAAGTTAAAGTTGAAAATCTCTCCCAGCAGGTAGGATATAAATATATGTGCATAACAAAATCAAGAAAAAATTATATGTATTTTTAAAATAACGATCAGTATTCCAGAGTTTACAAAGAACTCTTACAACTCAACAACAAAGAAAACCTAACTTTAAGTGTCACAGCTCTTTTAGAATTTGTCCAGCAGGTTTTCTGGCTTATGCTGGAAAACCCCAAAAAAAAAAAAAAAGAAGAAAAGAAAACTTAACAAGAGAAAGTCAATAAATGGCCAGTAAGCGCCTCAATCATGAATATTAGAGATAATCACTAATCATTAGGAAAATACAAAGTTACAAGGAGCTAGACCTTCACACCAACCAGGAGGCTATAATAAAAAGATGAAAATAACAAGCTTTGATGAGAATGAAAAGAAATTTTTGTTGAGAATGCAAAATAGAGCAGCCACATTGGCTAGTACTCAAAAAGTTAAACAGGGGCTTGGGATATAGCATAAGGTACAGCACAAGATTAACATGCATAAGGCCCTGGATCCAATCCCCAGAACCAAAAAACAAAGGGAAAATCCCTCGATACCTAAAACTGACAAATCAAGAGACCAATAGAAGCTTGTCACATGGAAATATGGAGAAAGGGCTAGGTGTGTAGCTCAGGCAAATAGAACACTTGCCTAGCCTGTGCAAAGTTCCAGGTTTAATCCCTAGCACCAAAATAATACAATAATAAAAACAATAGTATTAATATAGAAAGAAATTTTAAAATATAAGCTAAAAAGTAGGAGTTTGGAGGGGTAAGACAGTGCTTCATTTATGACAGCTGACACAGTGGCTCAAGTGACAGAGCGCCCACCTAGCAAGTGTGAGGCCCTGAGTTCAAACCCCAGTGCTGCCAAAAATTAAATAAATAAATAATACAAAAAAGATAGTTCTTCATTTATAAGCCCTTAAATACATTTGACTTTTTATTGTTTGTTTGTTGAGGCAGGGTCTTATTATGTAGCTCAGGTTGACCTTGAGCTCTTGACCCTCCTGCCTCAGCCTCCCTTATTTCAAAATATGGCACTGGCAACATTTTCAGTGCTCAATGGCTACATAAAACTACTGGCTTCCCTATCTAACAACACAGGTTATATGCATGCTACATAGTGAGACGCTGTCTCATAAACCTAAAACAAAACAAAACAAAAGAATTACTTTCATTTTAGAAAGCATCAATAACAATGAATAGCTTACCTTCTGTACCTGGGCTCTGACCACCAGCCCTGGCAGCAAGTTATTAAGGGTCCAATTTTGCTCCTCAGTTGCAAAGGCAGCAGAAATCTCTGAATGTCCTATAGACAGACTAACAACTCCTCCATTGCTTTTCACCTCTTCAATGATGCAAGTCAGGTACTGACCCACATTCAGTTTGGCACCTGTAACAGTCCCGGCACCCAAAAGGAAAAATACCTCTATGAGAAACACCTTTAACGTGGGCCTGAGCAGCACCTGAAAAGATCTATGGCCCACCTGCTAAGTTAGCATCTAATATTGTCTACATTCCCAGTCTCTAAGGGAAGAGAATGAAGTTACCCCAGCAATCTGGAATTCAACTATCCCACAAAAATACAAAAATTTCAACAAGCCTGGAGAGAGCTGGTTCAGAGGCCCTGGGGACTCAAATTCAGCAAAATCTTCTACATAAGGAAAACTGAAACTAGTCCATCAGATCTTAGAGCAACCCTGGCACTCCCTGGCCCTTTACACAGATAGCTACCTTTCCCTTTCAGCTGGTATTAACCAGTGATTTTCCCAAAGCTAAGGTGCCTTCGCAGTCACCTTTCTGTCATGGTACTCACCAAAGTGGCACTGATAACCCCCATATGCACTACCTCACTCCCATGTACTGGCCTCTCTGCTAGCCCTCACCTTTGTTCTTCTGTCGAATGTACTCCTGGGCTTTTTGCAGAGGCAGAAAAGCTCTGGTCCCACCAATACCAATATCCACTAGGTAGCCATGGTCTTCCAGGCTTGACACTGTGCCTGTCAGCAGCTGGGAGAAGAGAAAGCATTTGCACATTCCAAGTTAAAGGTAACAGGACACACAACAAACATCCACTACCAAACAAACATGAACGTTCCCCCCATTAATCTTAATACCCAATCCCATAATCAGAGTCTTCATTTTTAACTAAACCATAATCCCAACAGAGACAGAAGAAAGACGTCAACTTTATTCTCCCAGTGCTTGCAGGCTTTTCCAGTTCCAGACAGAGAGGAATGTTCTACACAGTTGAATTATGAAATGACAGAAGTCTCTTGCCTGCAGAGTTTTCAAAAGATAGGGAAATACTATTTTATTCAAAGAGGAAGGAACTGTGCAGCCCTGCAAGGTCACTCCCAGCAGCACAATTATCAAGAGAACCAGACTACCTTTCTATCTGTCATTGTTTTTTCTAAGCACTACTGGGGGGGCGAATCTTGCCAATCTTCTGTACACTTCATGGGAAGCAGTGTGGCACTGATGCTATCTACTTAGTCTTTGGCAAGTCACTGAGACCTTTGGGACCATTTTCTCAAAAATAGAAGATGGAGAATATCTACCTACCTCCCAGGTTTGTTGTGAAAACTGCATAATATAAAGTGCCTAAAATTGCATCCATCATGGCTCTCAATACTTGTCAATTCCTACAATTTGCTTTATATTACCTTTTTTTTTTTTTTTATTTATTTTTTATTTTTTATTTTTTTCTTGTGCTGGGGATTGAACCCAGGGCCTTGTGCATGCTAGGTAAGCACCCTACCACTGAGCTACATCCCCAGCCCTTTATATTACCTTTTAACCCAACTAAGTTCTACTGAACTTTCTGGCCCTTTCTCAAATCGTATTTCTTCTAGTCAAACATTGCAAACTCCATCTCCTGTCCCATAATTACCAGAGTACTTATATGAGTGTAGTTTCCTCTTTTGTACCTGGTTAATTTGGGGATCTGAGCCAGGATTAAGTGTTCCTAAATATCCATGAGGCTGTGTACAAAGTAGTGGGATATCCATTAACACACCTGGCAGATTAACTGCCCTGTTTACTCTGTCTCTTGCTCCGAAAGCAGCTGTTAGCATTCCACACAATGCCCAGTCCCTGAAAAAGACTTACTTCATGAAGAAGTCTTGATGAGAAAGCACTGAGGCTCTCCTTCTCCCCATCAGTAAATGCTCCACTAAGGCTCCCTGGAGCAATTTGACTGGGCCACCAGCAAAACTTAGACTTGCTTTCCCTTTCTCCCCTCCAAGGTAATAAAATTATGTTCAAGTCTTCGATGTTCATTAAACAACCAGGAGACCTTCCCTCCAGGAAAGACCTACCTGTGTGTGTAGTCATCAAGCTGAAAGTAAAAGGTGGCCTAGACCACACTCCCCAAGAGATACAACAGAGGGAAGGCATTCCTCTTTCCTGACACCAGATACATACCATGCCAGGCTTCAGGACCTCAGCACTCAGCACTCTGTTGACATTTTTGGGATTCAGAGATAGCTTGACACTCTTTTTGCCCCTCTCTTTGATGTCTAGGCTGCTCACCACACATCTTACCAGCATTCCAGGTGAAAAAAGTTCAGGTAAGCGAAGTAGGTCCTGCACAACACCAATGAAAAAGACCTGATACACACTCTTTCTTCTGAACCAAGAATCCACTGCCCAGCCTTGGCTCGATGGTTTCTCATCCTCAATTCCCAAAGAACCCAAAAGGTGGATGAAGTGTACTTGCTTATCCACAAAGGAAGATGGGTCTACACCAAATCACAGTCTTGAATTTTAGCATAAGGTCTCCAAATAATTCTATACAATGAGCAAATGTCAATGATTCATCAAGAATTGAATATACAGGGAGGAGTGAGGGATAAAGGAGAATGGTGGAGGGGGTGAATTCAAGTGTGATATATTTGATATACTGTAAGAACATCTGTAAATGCCACAATGTAACTCCACCCAGCACAATAAAAAAAATTTAAAAATTTGCCAGGTGCTGGTGGCTCACGCCTGTAATCCTAGCTACTCAGGAGGCAGAGGTCAGGAGGATCACGGTTCAAAGCCAGACAGGGCAAATAGTTTGTGAGACCCTATCTCGAAAATACCCATCACAAAAAGGGTTGGCAGTGTGATTCAAAGTGAAGGCCCTGAGTTCAAGCCCCAGCACCACAAAAAAAAAAAAAAATTAAAAATTAAAATTTCTTAAATTTTTAAGAAAAAACAACCAAACAAAAGAATTGAATATACACACTATCTCCACTTCATCTCCTACTCACTCTTCAGCTCACTGCAAACTGCTTTCCACATTTCCACTTTATCTCCCAAGAAAATCACCAGTAAGCAACATATCACTAAATCCAACTGTCTACTTTGAAGTCTTTCTCTTATATGGCTTTTGTTTACTTATTTATTGGTGCTGGAGATTGAACTGATGGCCTTGAGCAGGTTAAGTATACACTCTATCATTGAGCTACACCCCCAGCCCTCTTATGTGCCCTTTCAAAAAAACACTTAAGCCAGGTCCTGGTGGCTCACACCTGTAATTCTAGCTACTTGGGAGGCTGAGATCTGGAGGATAGCACTATTGGAGGCCAGCCCAGGCACAGAGTTCTGGAAATCTCATTTCCAAAATAACCAGAGCAAAATGAACTGAAAGTGTGGCTCAAGCAGTAAGTGCCTGCTTTATGAGTGAGAAGCCCTGAATTCAAATTCCAGTCCCACCAAAAAAGAAAAAAAGAACCCAATACTACTGACTATTCCTTTCTTTAAACACCATCTCCCTGGCTTCCAAGATTTGATGGTTTATTTGATGGTTTTCTTTTCTATCCCTCTAGCCACTCTGGCTTTTCTGACAGCAATTCTCCTTCAGCATTCACTCTTGACTCAGTCTTTTAGTTTCTCAGCAATTTTTTCCTCATAAGCAACTTTTCCCCCCTTTATAACTGCTATTATTGCATATAAAAAGAAGTCCCGTACATTTACACATCCAGCCAACTTCCTTGAGCTCAGCAATCACCTATCCACTGGATGTCTCAAGTGTACCTCAAACTCAATCTATCAGAAAGCCAAACCGTGAGCATCCTTCCCATCAAGTCATGCACAACAGAAACCTAGGACTGTACCTGACACCTGTCTCTGCCTCACTGCCATATCAAGTCTATTATTAGCCAACAGCTTTACCTCCTTGGTCCTTAGTAAACCCTCGCCCCAAGTAGCCATCAGTCTCAGAGCCTGGACTACTACAGCAGCCTCTAAGAAGGCACTGATGTCTTTTCAATCTGTTTGCTTTGCTGTCTTCATGTCACCCACCCCAATGAGAACATTTCAAGGACTTCCCTTCCATGTTAGAAATTAAAACCAACCATCCTTAATATGATCTGCAAAACCACGTAGGATCTGGATTCTATTCAGCTCTCTGGTGCCATCCTACACCACTCTCCCTTACTTTCTATTCTAGCCATACCAGCCTTCTCTCTGTTACCTATTTGTCCTTCTTCTACCTGAACTCCCTTCCTTCTGAACCCAGGAAACCCTCACCCTTCGGATCTCAGCTTTACCATCCCCACAGGTCTTCCTAAGTAAAAAAAAAAAAAAAAAAACTCATCATTTATAAAACAAACAAACAAATCCTTTATTATAAATCTCATGGCAGCTGTACATTTCCTTCTTAACACTTAGTGAAGTGGTCTTTTACATCTGTTTGGTACCCCCTATTTCTAGCAGGTTTCACCCAGACTCTCCTTACCTTCAGAGGTTCTTCTTGTGCCACCTGTTCATTCAACTTTTTGGTATAGGCATCACAGATTTCAGTCACTTGCACAAACCCCTGAAGGCCATTAGGTAGACTGATCACCAGTTCCAGTTCATTTACCTCTTTCACACAACCCAAAATCCGCATTCCCTCACATAGTGACTAGAAGAGAAAAAGTTAAATGTACACAATAAGGGACTTTAGAGGGGTTTGGCTTCTAGTCCCAAGTCTAATATTTAAAAGCAACAGGAACTCTGTAAATGAAAAGAAATACAGATGTGTATGTATTACTATGCACTTATTAGATATCTAACCAAGCACTGAAAAGGTTTAGATTAGACAGCACCAGGTGGCCTTTCACCATATCCCAAGCAACCCAGTCTCAAACACCTGGTAGACAACACTGTGAAGGAAGCAGGTCAGTGAATGCAATGGCAATCTTGAGTCCACACATCAATTTTAAAAGGTACGGCCACTACGCAGCTCCCATGACCACAAACAAAAGAGAAAATGGGCTGCTGCTGTCAGCACTTTGAAATTTTCATGAGGAGCAGAATCTGCTTTTGCCTGAAATCTCTACTTTTCTCCTTTTCTCATATTTTAAGCATCACACAGGAAAGACAAAATATTTCTGCAGGCTGAACTGGAATTTTTCTCCTCAGAATCACTTTACTTTTTTCTCTTTTTTATAACTTTCTTTTATAACATAAAAACCACATCATGTTCTGAAATAGTTTGAGATCTATAAAATGAATGGGTAGGATTACAATGATTGATAAAGTTATTGTCAGTTCTAACCTCTAAATCTATTTAAAACACAAATCCCATGAAAATATAAGCCAGACCACAGCACCTGTAAAAAAAAAAAAAAAAAGACCCCCAGCACTGGTTAGCAAGAATGCTTGATTCTCATCATGGTTCACAAAAATCTCTACAGACACAGAAGAAAACCAAATGTTTCCAAACCTCAATACTAAGGATTTCGAACTTCTCTTTTATAGACTTCTTGCTTGCTTTCTTTTCAATTTTCAACTTTTTAATTTTTGCTGGCTCTTTCTGCTGCTTCTTCCTTTTGGTGGGTTCTTCTTCATTGGAAATCTAAAGCGGGAAAAAGAAAGATCCACAAAGATTCAAAAGAATGGGAGGCAGCAATCTCAGCCTTTCCCTCACATTGAGTTGTCTGTCACCTTACTTCATTACTCTTACTCTCCCACCTCACCCCATTCAAGTATTCCCTCAATTCCTGCTGTGATCCCCACTCTCCCATTTAGCCACCAATGCTCCCTTTGCCCAAGTCTGAGAAGCCTTCTTCATATTCCCAAAGTCTCTTCTCTCATGAGCTCTTCCTCCCTGAACTGAATGGAGGCTGGGGTTTCCTACCTTGAGAAGCTAGGTATGGCACTGGTGGTATAGTGGTGAGCACAGCTGCCCTCCTAGCTTGAGAAGCAATGTGGAACAATGCAGGAAAATGGAAGCTGGAGCCAAGAAACTCCAATTAAACTCCCAAACTCCTACCTAACAAGCTATGTGGTTTCAACCAAATATGTAACCTCTCTGAACCTCAGTTCCTCACATCACAGAATTGCAATTTCCACCTTCTAGTGTTCTTGGAAAGATTACATTATATACACAAGGCCATGCACTCAAATGTTAGTTTCCTTCCCTCTAGCATTTGAAGCATGGCCTATTTTAGGTAAGACTAAAAATTCTAAGGCAAATTCTGACCATTATATGTGGCAAGGACCCCATTTAAAAATTCAGTGATCAAGGAGATCAACCAGGGTACTGTACACATATACGAAAATGTCACAACAAAACCCCCTGTACAAGTACTATATACTAATAAAAAACATCAAAAAAATTCAATGATAAAATGCTTTTTCTCCATTTTCTTAATCAAATAAGAATTTGATTGTCCAGAGAATCCCTAAGGACAAGGTACAACAGTACTTCAAACTCAAATAATAAATGTCACATCTCAAAAGATAAAGCCTTGCAATGTAAGCCTCTCTAACAAGTTCAATTGACAGAAGTGGACTTCAATAAGAAACAAATCTGGAAAATAACAGCTTCAAACAAGGCTCATGTTTCACAAGGATGCTAGAGAGAAAATCTCTTGTCTCAATAAAGAAGCCTATCACTTACATTAAATAAGTTGTCTTGTTCAACTAACTGCTGGAAAGGTTTCTCTGATTTGTGGATCTTCCTCGTACCTCCTCGGGGGAAGCTTTCTTCTAGGGCTGCCATGTTTGGGTCTTCTAAAAACAAAGCAAAGCATAGTGGTGAGATGTAGAATGGATGGCAAGTTTTATAAAGGCTGTGATCAATGTGGCAAGAGAACCTTCTAGAAATGAGCTGGACAAGACTTAGAACTACAGCAGTTGAGATGTCAGGCCCCCTGTTCATCTATTTTATAGCTTTCCATGGATGTCAGCTTCAAAATAAAAACCACACACCTTCCTATAAGAAAAGTATTCAACGTATTAAATTTTCATTGACTATTTCACAAACTCATTTTGTCAGAAATACACAATGAATATATAAACCCTTACCTTCAAATGCACACTTTTTCAGAAGAGAAGACAATTACTTAAAAGTTTACAAATCTGATTATAAACTATAAACAAAACATAGGAAGTGATAGGCTTCAATAAAGGAGACGGCATCAAAAAAAGATGCTTTTGAGCCAAAGGTTAAAAGAAAGGAGTTGGAGGACTGGCGGAGTGACTCAAGTGGTAGAATGCCTGCTTAGCAAGTATGAAGCCCAGCGTTCAAACCCCAGTACCACCAAAAAAACAAACAAAAAACCGAAACTCAAGGGCTGGAGCAGTGGCTCAGGTGGTAAAGAGACTGCCAGCAAGCCTAGGAAGTGTGAGGTCCTGAGTTCAAGCCCCAGTACTGCCAAATATTTATACATATGTATATGTGTGTATGTGTATAAAATATATGAGTTGGATAGGTAGAAAAGCAACGTGAGAAAAGGCATGGAAAAAGAGCCTGTTGTTTCAATAAACAACAGTAATTTGCCTATCAAACAATTGTTCAAAGACTTGCTGTTGCCTTTGAGAAATTATTTAACTAAAACTCATGTAGAATAAATCATAATAATTGGAGATAAAATTTAAAAGACAGGTCGAGCATTTTGTGGAAGATATTGAATTAGAAATGTTTACTTTGCAAATCAATGTCTTACATAGGGGAAGTGACAGAATAGCAAAAACAAAAAAACAAAAAACCCGGGCACCAGTTGCGCATACCTGTAATCCTAGCTACTCAGGGGCAGCGATAAGGAGAATCGCAGTTTGGTTCAAAGCCAGACCCAGCAAATAATTTGCGAGACCCCATCTTGAAAAAACAAATCACAAAATAGGGCTGGTGCCGTGGCCCAAGGTGTAGGCCTTGAGTTCAAGCCCCAGTACCATAAAACAAACAAACAAAAAAATATTGTGATTTCAGCTACTTGGGAGGTAGAGATCAGGAGGATATCATTTGGAGGATAGCCTAGGCAAAAAGTTCTCAAGACATCCCCTCCATCTCATCAAACAAGCCTGATGTGGTGATGCACCCGTGTAATTCCAGCTACTTGAGGGGCACAGGTAGGATGGTGGAAGTAAGACATTGGGCAAAAAGCACAAGACCCTCTCTGAAAAGTAACTAAAACAAAACAAAAGGCTGGAGGCGTGGCGTAAGTGGTAGAATACCTGCTTCCCATGCCTGAGGACCTGAGTTCAAGTCCAAGTAGCACCAAAAAAAAAGTAAGAAAGAAAAAATACACTTCAGACTATAAATTGGACAGGAAAAGTGGGCTAAACACAAGTAAATCGGGAAGGATTTAAATGCAGTACAGAAGAAAACCATGAGAACCAGAGCTAGGCATATAAGTGAGAACGAAAAATAGGAGTTGGATCAGAGAGATACTAGGGAATAAGAATCCAGAGAGCATGAGACTATAGAAAAGGTGACAACCGCGAGGAAGCTTAGGGTTTGGAATCAGGTATGGATGGTGGATGCTTCACAGAAACAGCAAAGTGCAAAGGGTATGGAAACTGAGATTCCAAAAAGTAAGGCGATGTAAGAGCAGAGAAGGGAATTTGGCTACTTCCCGAGCAAAGTTCGAGTGAACAAGCCACTCATCCCGACATAAGGATGTTTGGCGTGGGCCCGGGAGACCTAGTCCTGGGACAGACCTGAGCACCATGAGGTTTCATCCCTTTCGCTTCCTCCCCACTCACCAGTTCCACTGCGCCAGCACCTCCCTACCTCAAAGTCCTGGCGGCAGCACTCACACACGCGGAGACCAGTACACCTAGAGCCCAATACTGTTCTTCCGGAAGTGGGGGCGGGCCCAACACATTACTTCCGCTGTACGTCCAGTCCGCTGGGCTGAGAGGCGGGGTAGAGACAGGAAACGGAAGGGCGGGACTTGGAGTCCTAGCCAATCGGCGCAGAAGGCTGTGTCTCTATAGCTCGTTGGACACGGGTGGGGGTGGCGGCATTCTTCCGGCCGGGCTTAGGTGGTAGCTGTGGACGCTGAAGGACACCCGCTGCGGAATTTGTGACTTTGGCAAAGGTGGGTGACGAGGGACTCCCGCGCTCGAGCCTCGCGCCTCGGCTTTGAGGGCGGACCTGGAATCTGCTTCTGATCCGGAAGCACCGCAAGGTCTTCGCTTTGTGGGGCAAGAACGGTGAGGAATGGCGAAGAATGTAGGAAAAAATAAAGGTCGGAGTCCGAGGGCACGGGCAGCAGCTGAGAAACCACGGGGGCGCGGCGCATAGATGCGTCCAAAGGCTCGCAAGTTTCCCCAAAATTCTTAGATTGCGTTTTCCAATGGAAAAAAACAGATCCGCCGTGAATGGAGTTCCTCAAGGTCACGTAGTGACATAATGTTAGACGAGAACTTGCGCTTCTGACCCCTTCTCTGGCCTCTTTTCGTCTGCACGGCCGGAGGGGGTCGTTTGCACTGAGCTGTGACCAGGGAGCTGGCGCGGCGGGCTCTGCAGGGCGAGTGAGCGTGGTTGGCCGCCGCGGTGTTCAGGCCCGCGCCGAAAGCGGGTTAGGTTGCAGTTTGCACACCATCAGTCGGAAAGAGGGCCTTTCCGGGAGGGAGCCAGAACGGAGAGAGCTGTCAGCGCCCCTAAATGGGAGAGGCTTTCGCTCGTCTTCCCACTAATCTCAGCGTTCCGAATAGGAGTTCAGTGAGACAGGAGAATAGCAAAGCCGAAGATTGAAGAACGTAGCAAGGGCAGCTGGTCATTTTGGGCCTTTCATGAAATGCCCATTTCACAGGCCGAGAAAGGCATGGAGAGATTGTTTATATTTAATAGTGGTTAATTAGAAACAAAAGCAGGCCGGACATGGTGGTGCACACCTTTAATCCTAGAACTCAGGAGGCTGAGGCAGGAGGATCTCGGTGGAGGCCCCCCTGGGCTATATTGTGACACCTTGTCTCAAAAAAAGAAAAAAAGTGGAAGGCCTATCTGCGTAGACTTTGCAGCAGTCTGCCATTAACAACATTCAATCACAAGTTCACAACGTATGAGTTGTACTTGTTTTTCTCCTTCATTAATATACCTTAAGGAAAGCAAATTTCAGTTCAGCTGTTCCACAAAGGGCACTGATAACGCAAGAGTTCCTTATCTTCGCACTAAAATAGCCCACAGTTTGCTGAAGGGGGCAGGCCTAGATTTTGGGTGGCTTACTCCCATTGTTTTTCTCACAGCAACATCACCACTCCCCTTCCATCTCAGGCTCTGTAGAGTCTTTCGTTAAGACTCACACTAAATTTCAACTCCTATACCATGTCCTTTCCTGAAGTTAAAATTAGTCTTCTATGGAATCTTACAAACATCAACCTTCCTTGTGTAAAGTGAAATTTAAAGCACCTTAATATTTTTCAGTTGGACACCACATCCTCCTAAAAAGTTTTGTTAGCCACAAGGTAGTGGGGGTTATCAGTAATGAGTTGACAGAGTTAAGGTTAATGAATTGACAAAATTAAGGCCTTTTCTGTAGGGTTTCTCCTAAGAACTTCATGCCATTAAAAAAAAGTATCATGAAAAAATATGACTAATAGGTTTAGTAAAATGAAATTGTTGCTAGAAAAGCTGCATCATAGAGGTTTCTTTTAATGGAGATTTCCCAGATTGGCCAATGCCTATGAAGGGATCTAATGAAGTTTGAGTCTCCTTCATTGCTCCAAGAAACTTTCTAAAATTAAGGTCTCAATTTTTCATTGCCAAATCTTTGCACATGAGAGCCTTTCAATAATAGAGGAGTGCCAATTTCCTTAGCAATGACTCTCGATGTTCTCTCCCTCTTCCATTTCATCAGAGCCAGCTGAGTCACTGCCACTGCTTACCAATCTTACCAATCTACTCTGTGGCATTGTGGTAAATAGGTGGGCACACTTAGGAATTTTCAGCTGTTGTTTTGGTGGCTTGTTGAATGTATCTGCTATTTCTTATTAAACAAAAATGCATGCCTTTGTAAAGTACATAGGCTTGACCCCTGCCTTGAAATTTGCTATATGTCAACAGTTTTATTTTCCTATTTGGTTTTCCATTTCCAAACTTCCATGTGCTTTAGAAACACCTAGAGTCCTTATTACAAAAGATTGCTGGCTCCACAGTTTTTCATCAGTAGGCCCAGGGTTGGGTCTGAGAGTTTGCATTTCTAACTAGTTTCCAGTGATACTGCTGGTCTAGGGACTTTGGAAACCATCGATGTACTCCATGACATCCAGAAATAGGATTTTTAAAGTATTTAACATTATTTGGGGACCTCTTTCCAGTTCAGTCATGGAAATCATCATTTATCAGTCTTATGTACACGAACTTTTTTTTTCTGTTTTTTTTATTTTCATAAACACTATTTCAGTGACTATCATGAACCACATATCCACCTTATGGTATTTCTGTAATGGTAAATTCCTGGAGAAGAAATGAACCAGCTAGCTACAACAGTGTACTCATTATTTCATTTGCTAGATGCTCCACATTATACTTTAGGAAGGCTGTACCAGTTTACATTTCAAACAACAGAGAGAATGCTGAATTTCAAGTTAACACTGTTTATCATTTTATCTATGCCAGTTTGGTGGTTAAATATCAGCTTCATCTTACATTCCTTTGAGTTTGATTGTTCTTTTTTTATGTTTTGCCTTTTTGTTCCTGGCATTCTTCATATATTGCCTCTCCCAAAATGATTAAAATATTTGCCCATGTTTTCTTTTACCTATTTTGGAGTAAGGACTAAAGATCCCAGCTTCCCCCACTACAACCACTAAGGACTTTTATCAACTCCATTTAGTAAATAATCCCTTCTCCCCCCCCCCCATAAAGTCCTAAGTGATTAATAAGAAAAATTACACAAAAGAGGCTAAAAGTTACACTGTTTAGTTGGTGGTCACCTCTGAGAAAGTTTGAAAAACATCACAAGCTCCAACTTTCAACTAGTCTTAAAAGTGATTCAGTGTTGTACCATTATGTGGATAGAGTCAGGAATGAAAACATCAAGTTATACTGAGTCAGAAGGTGGACTTAGTGACTACTGTTCTCTTCCTGTGTTGAGTGATTTGACCTTTTCTGGAGTCTCTATGAAATAGCAACTAAGGTAAAGTCTTATTTTCAGAAATTCCTCGTTAGCAAGGCTTTTTCCACAATCTTTGCTACTGTTGTGTTGGGTAAAACATAGTTAAGAATTTATAATAGTTTTATGCAATGACTTTGAGTTTTTAAACTAAAAAAAACCTTATTCTCTTGTAAGTTGCATCCAAACCAATCTACTACTGCTTTTTTTTTTTTAAAGGTTGAGATCATGGCAGGCCCAGAAAGTGATGCCCAATTCCAGTTCACTGGTATTAAAAAGTATTTCAACTCTTACACTCTCACAGGTAGAATGAATGTAAGTATTAACTACACCTTTTAAGCAGTTATGTTTTCAAATAATATAGATGTGATAGTAACTCTTGCTTACAATTTCTTTTTTTTTTTTTTTTCCAGTGTGTACTGGCCACTTACGGAGGCATTGCTTTGATGATCTTATACTTCAAATTAAGGTCTAAAAAAACTCCAGCTGTGAAAGCAACATAAATGGTAAGGAGCTGAATTTTAAAGTTTGTAATGTAGCCATTTTGATTTTAGGGTTTTTTCTTCCACTGGAAAAACATATAAGAAAAAACACTGTGGATACACATATGTGATCTCAATGTTTGGGAGGCAGAGGCAGGAGGATTTTGAGTTTGAGAACAGTCTGACATAGAAAGACCCCGTCTTAAAACAACAACAACAAAAAAGCCAAGCACCAGTGGCTCACGCCTGTAATCCTAGCTACTTACGAGGCTGCACTCTAGATAGAGGATGGTGGTTCAAGGCCAGTCGGGCAAATAGTTCAAGAGACCCCATCTCCAAAATAACCACAGCAAAATGAACTAGAGGTGTGGCTCAAGTGGTAGAGCATCTGCTTTGCAAGTGCAAAGCCCTAAGCTCAAATCCCAGTCCCAACAACAAAACAAAACAAAAATTATAGACACGATATAGTCAGATATAGTCATTGGAAACCAAATTCACAAAAAACCTTAATCAAAATGTGGAGATGGCAGAGGGGCTCAAGCATTAAGAGTGCTGCTAGCAAGTATGAGGCCCTGAGTTCAAACCCCAGTGCCACAAATAAAAAAATGTTAACAAAAATTGTCAGGGTTATGGGATGTGGACAGTATTTTTTTTTTTTTTTGCAGTACTGGGGTTTGAACTCAGAGCCTACACCTTGATCCAGGCCACCGATGCCTGCTCACAGCAGTTTTTGATTTTTGCTAATTTGATGAGTAAAAGACAATTATACCTCTTGCTTTTTACTGAAGTACATTTTTTTCTTTTACTGTTTTTTTATTTTGTGGGGGTACTGGAGTTAACCAGTGGCTTTACCACACCTCCCCCTTTTTATATTTTTCAGATAGAGTATTGCATTTTTGCCTGAGCCAGCCTGGGGCCCCAATTTTGCTATAGGATTATAGGGGTGAGCCACTGTGCAACCCATTTGTATTTTTCATAACATTCTATTTGTGTCCTTATTTAACAATTAGGTGACTTTTTTTTTTTTTTTTGACATACTAGAGATCAAATCCCAGTCCTTGCGCATGCTAGGCAAGTGCTCTGAGGCAGAACTACACCTCCCAACTCACACCAATCTTTATCATATGCAGTTGTATATTCTTGCTTTATAGTTCTGTTTTCATATAATAATTGTCTTTTCCCTAAATCCCCATATAGTTAATTTCCTTCTTACAGCCCTCCTTAGATCCCTTTTACCCATACGTAAGTGAATAAACATCTGTGATGTTGACCATAGATACTGTCAAAACTGAAACTTCAGATCTTCATTCATATAATATAGCTTTCCTTCATAGCTATGTTTGCTTTGCTCTTAACAGTTTATCCAATCTCAAATCATAAGGGACTGCATATTCCAAAATACAGTCGTCTGTGGCTTATTTCTGATAAACAGGTAGTGTTTTGCCCAATTTTCTATAACTCCTAACTTTGGAAAGGTGGTAGTACGCCCATAAAAATGGAAAATTGTGTCTTGGATAACTATTGTCTTGATACTAAGTAACAGATGCATATCTGTGTTTTCTACTATTTAAAATGTTACTTTACATACTAATTTTTCTAATACTTTGCCTTTAGATCATTCTAAATTTTTAGCAACTTCTTTGTTAAAAATGTAGCATTAGGTTAAAATACAACAATTTTGAGACATACCTTGTTTCTGTCCTTGTTGACTCCTTTGAGAATCTTAGGAATTTGCACTCAGCTTCTAGGGTTCATGGATAGTCCTGTCATAGTAATTACTGAGTGTCTTAAAAGTAGATTGGAACACACTTGTGTCAAAACTGTTTCTGCTTTGTTTATAGGATTCTGAAATGCCTGATCTCATCTGTTAAGTACCCCATATTTGGAGAAGCTAATATCAACTCATCATCTAATACTCAATTTGTACAATAAATTATGAACCTGGAAAAGCTGTTTGTCTTTATTTACAAGATATCAAAAATATAAAAACTGTACAAAATGCAACAAAGGCAAAAACTGGCAGTGACTTGGTCTAAATCTTTTAGTTTTCCAAAGCAAGGCTCAGTACTGGAGGTAAGCAACTGAAATGTCTGTCTGACTTCAAGTGTACTAGGTTGTATCTAGCCATTTTAGCTGAAGTACAATATGGAAACTAAACTTCTTTGCCTGTTTTATAAAGGGTTTGGGTGCACTCAAAATTGAGTATAAATTGAGATGTCCGTGGATAGTCGTACTTTCTCAGGATCTTAGGAAGGAATTTTTTCCCATACCCAGTTACATACATTCCACTAAGCACAGGTCAGGAAAAACATGTTAGTGGATCATTAACAGTGCTTGAGTGCCATACAGTAACTTCATTTTTACTGCAGAAGATATACATGCTTGTAGAATTCTTCAGCTAAAATTCAAGATGGTATCTCTTAATTTGAATCTTGAAGCAAGATGAATTTTTTTAAATCAAACTGATTTTTTTCTAAACATAATAAATTAAAATAGCATTTGAACAGAAAATGCATAGTTTCCACACAATCCAAAGCACCATAAATGTCCCCTCCATGAACATAATAATACCTCTTATTCAACTAACGGAAATTAGTTAAATGTGGTTGCTATAAAAACGTGGAACTGTCCTGTTCAGATTTTCCAAGCAGCATACTTCAAGATCCATAGACAAAAACATTCTTTGTAGCTTAAATATTCATCACTGAGGTATTTGCTTTTAGTCTCCCTTTTTTAAACAGTAGCTTCCAAAAGGTCTTTAATACCGATGATTTATTGTGGACTGTAAGCTCCTGCAGCTAGAACCAAGTTTCTTCGAGTAAAATGTAGGTGTACTACTGGTGTTGATTTGGTCATATATGTACCCAATAATAATTCCTGTGAATTCTCAGGTAAATTTATATGTCCAGTGGCTGTAGTAAAGTCATCAGTCTCTAAGTCTTCAAATGCTTTAATGGCATCCCATAACCGGACTGTATTATCCATTGAACCTAAGAGGAATTCAAAGGAAACTATTAACTAAATCCATCACAGTTAGAGTTTGACATTTTGTCATTTTACTCTTATGTATTTACTGTATATTTTCTGATGAAAAACTTCAACCTTTATCCCAAAACCAGTAATCATTTACCTGATGCCAAAATTTCTCCATCTCTACTAAACCTAAGTGAACAGACTGTATCAGTGTGTCCTTTTAATTCTCCAACCATCAAACCGTGTCCAATATCCCAAAGAAGTACTCTGCCATCTGTTGCTCCTGTAGCCAGGAATCTCCCATTGGGAGAAAATGTCAAGGAATGAATTGGTCCCTAGAAAAGAAGTCCATGGAAAGGATCAAATTAGAGTTAAGTATATCTAAAAAAATCAGACAATTAAAATTTTAGTGGCATGAATGTTATCTTTAAAATGTATGCATTATTGACTGGCTAAAAAATACTTTTCTGTGGGACTGGGGTTTTGAACTCAGGGCTTTGCTCATACAAAGCAGATGCTAAAAAATTTTTTTATCTAGAAAAGCATCTAGATGTGCTAGAATAATGAACGTATAAAATACCTTGTGTCCAGTGAAGATCCTTACACAGTTACCATTCAGAACATCCCAAAGCCTCACAGTTCTGTCTGCAGAGCCCGTAGCAACATAATTTGAATTTGGATGGAATCTGGTACAATTCACATCAGCAAGATGGCCAGCAAATATCCTTAAAGGCTGATAGTGGTCTGTAGCCCAAAGCCTTTTTTGAAGTATGGAAAGTGAGAAATGATAATTAGAGTAGTTAATTACAAAATGTAAATTTTTCTATCCAAAATATAGAAATATCCAGGTGAACGTTCCAAATGGGTCCTCCTTGCTAGCTAACTGAGGAAAAGAAGGTACAATGAGACATTCTTTAGAAAAAAAATTGCTCTGCTACAAATATTTTTAATTTTTTAATTCTTTGCCCCCTTCCTCCCCGCTTCTAGGCTAAATTATAGATGAATATTTTCTCCTAATTTTGGCTACCACATAATAAGTTTCTAACCTGAGCTACCTCATCCAGAACTTTTAAGGAGATGGCAGGGAAGTGGAAGTGGAAGACAAGAGTAACACCTGATGGGAGGGGGATATAAAGGAAAACGGACTCTTGTTATATCCCAAATACATTTTCATATAAGAGGTATATATGCTGGTGTTCTCAAAAAGTTAATCCTAAATAACTGAAGTGAAAATGAGGTTGGTTGGAGTTTATAATTCCCAACAAGAAACCATTTTGTTCATTGAACAGACTCAATCATAAGATCACAATGTTCTTACCGAGCTACTCGGTCATGGCCCCCTGACACAAAATAATATCCATATGGAGAAAACTGTGTGTCCCATACTGGGTAGTTGTGTCCTTTATATCCCACCAAGCAAGTAAATGTTTGAAGACTCCACAATCTAACAGTTCCATCCTCTGAAGAGGAAAGCAGATAATTCCTGAGAGAAGAGAATGTGATATATTTGATTCCCAGAATAACTTTTGGTTACTTGCCCAGTTTCTCCTTATATTTGAACATATTAAGGTAGTTAATTAATGATACATCTCACTTTTAACTTATACATGGAATTCACCAAGAGCTGAAAGTACTGAACAAACTAATGTTAAAACCCAATGTTAGCCCTAACAATACCTACACTGAACTACTGGATGACATGATTGTGAAAAAGAAAGGTCTATTAAGGGGAAAAATTACAGTTCTTTAAAAAAAATCAACATCGGCGTAATAACAAATAGTATGGTTAAATAAGGTCAATTGAGACAGTCTTACAAATGTGATATGTCACTTAAACTCAACAATTTTTTGCTCTAAAATGGAGACAGGTATGGTCATACTGCCCTGAACACACCTGATCTCATCTAAAATGAGATCCTATTTTGCTATCCTGTGTGAATTTTATGAGAATTTGAAAAAAGGGAAGTGGGGGTGTAGCTCAGTAATAGTGCCTGCTTAGCATGCACTTGAGGCTCTGTAGGTTCAACCCCTAGCACTCCCCCCCCCAATAAAAAGAAAAATGAAATGTCTTTTTGAGAAAGAACTATAGACATGCTAATAATATAATACTTTAACTTTTTCAGAAATAAATACAAAAGCCACCAGGCACCGGTGGCTCATGCCTATAATCCTAGCTACTTAGGCAGAGATCAGAAGGATCGCAGGTCGAAGCCAGCCCAGGCAAAATAGTTTGAGACACTCTATCTCAAAAAAATCCATCACAGAAAAGGACTGGTGGAGGACCTGAGTTCAAATTAAATTCCAGGACCACAAAAAAAAGCCAACAGTTTTCACTGAAATCACAAGTTTCTCAAGTAAAAATGTATCATCTGACTAAACCCTATCAATTAATAAAAAAAAAAAAATCCTTGGATGAACCTTACCAAGATACAGTATAAGCATAAATGGAAATGTCACAATGAAGCCCCTTGTACAACTAATTAGGTGATAAATTAGGTGATACTACCATAGGTATAGTAAATTTTTTAATAAAAATTTTTTTAATTAAAATTTAAAACTCAAAGTCTCATAAACATGAAAACCCTGATGGGTTGAAATCCATTATCTAGCCAAGTAAGATGCAGATGACACTGTGAATAAAAATAACCTCCCTCCCCACAATACCTAAATATACAGGATAATACTCTGGAATCATGGTTAAGGGTAGAAAAACCTAAGCAGCAATTTTAAATTCCTTTTCAGTATCCTCTTAGGTTTTGGAGGTTTTTTGTTTTGTTTTGTTTCTGCAAAGGTTCTCTATGTCATCCAGAGTGGCTTTGAACTCATGATCCTCCTGCCTCAGTCTCCTGAGTAGTTGAGATTATAGGTTCACACATCACCACACCCAGCTTTCTTAGTTTTTGACTGTAGGACAATAAAGCTTCAATTGATGAGTATTATTCCATTAATATCAGGAATTTGTCTGAAATTTGATGTAGTGCCACAAGAACAATACAGAACTCAAACAATTCAACCCCAATCAGGGTTATACAAAAGTAAAGCTAATTTTTGACACCAGTGAGTCCTGAAGTATGCATCTTGATTCTATAAACTAAGAATCAATTGGTATCTTTTATTATACCAATACCCCAAGATAAATTAGCAAATGGCAAGATTCTAAAACAATGACATGCAACCATGAGATTTTTCTAACAAGAATTTCAGGCATTTGTGTTTCCAATAGTTAACTTTTACATAACCTCAACACAGTACATCAGTATTTAATTTTTATTGTTTTTATTTTACCTATCTGGACTGAAGCTGGCTCCATAGACAGGCCCACTGTGACCATACAAAATCTTCAACTCACTTGCAGTTTTCTCATCCATGATTCTTTCTAAAACATCATCTGATTCTTTGTCTATGAGGCTGAGATCTAAAATGGTCCAGAAATATTTTTAAAGTACATTCATTAAAACATTTTAAGGCAATTGCATCACAGTTCAGGAGAAGAAATAACACGAACAGTCCCTCCTATGTATCAACCATTGTGCTAATGCCTCTAAATTAGGTGATACTATTCCAGGTATAGGATACCTGGAATTGTTAACTAGATACAGTTAACAATTTGCTAGAGTGCACACAGCACCTCAGTATTGGAACCAGGATTGAAACTCGTTTGTTCACTATACCACAATGTTTCAGAAAATGAAAGCTATAGAAATAATAAAACAATTTTAAATGTTTTGTTTAGGTAATACAGCTAGCAAAAACCTTAAAATGAAATCCTGACCCTCCTCGTTTTTAGCCATTTTTATGGCTAATACAAAAAATTCTCCCACTATTTAAGGTTTTGTTTTGTTTCTAATTTCAAGCAAATAATTTAAAGTTTTACCTTTAAGGAGTTTTTCTAGCCTAATCTCTATTCTATAGATGAGAAAATAGGGCAAGAGAAATTAAACATAGTCTAACATCCCAGATTCCTGATTCCTACT